ACTATTTGGTTTTCGCTGCTGAGGAAATGTTGTTCTTCTGGCTGGGAAAGTAGGGAAATAGTGAGGAATCTTCTATTTTCTGTCTATTTTTTCTGCACTTGAATGCATAGAATTTTCATCAGTTATGCAAATGTTGCTGTAATGGAATTGTATGAATTATGCGAATTTGCTGGTTAACATGCAAACTATGCTTTTTACTTTGATGGTTTAATTATTTTCTAATTCGTCGCATTTCACATGAAATGGTGTTGGCTAGAGTGGGAAAAAAAGTTGCCGAGCGCTGAGCTTTGGCCTGAGCTTTTGCGAATTGTACACACACTCTGTGGAAAAGTCGAGAGAGAGAGCATGTCACTTGGTTGTTAGTGGAAATGAAAATTGTGTCATATTACCTTCTATGACTTTAATCCGATGTGTGTGCTCTCAGATGCCATTCATCATGGCATAGAATGGGAAGACAAGGTGGGGGAAAAAGAAGTGAGCTGAGTTTACACTGGCAAATTCATTCCAAAACAAAGTTTGTGTTTAAACTTTTCCTCCGTTCTCGTGCTGAATGGGAAAATCGTTGTCCACGTGTTGGGAGAGTGTGGGCGGGTGAGACGAGGCTATCTTCCGACCTATCTTCTGTGGGTTATATATTTATTAAATTGTTATACAGCAAGAGTCGTTAAGTAATATAGTATGTGGGTGTGATATGGTCGCAAGTTTCTTCTGTCTCTTCGCTGGAATAGAGGTCTTCTGGAAAGCGGGTGTGTCCATATACATAATAGTCTTTTCTTTTCAACCGTTCTGCGGACTATCAGCTCACTCACTGCTCTCCTACCTTTTCTGCTGTGTATCAGCGTGTGTGTTATTACAATAAATTAACGACTCTCTAAAATTGCTAATGTTCCAGAACAGTGAATTCCATGACAGTTTAATAACTTCTTCTGCGCGTTGTACAACATTGTCGAAAGGAGGCATAAAATAAAATTTAACGATGATGAGAGAAAAATTATTCATAACAGGAAAAAAAACGATATTTGCGTATCAATAAATGGGTGTTCTTTTTCGGTCTGAAAATATTCCTCTTTTATTACCTTTTATGGTGACACATTTAAATGCTTAGCATTTGAGTATTAATGGCATTTAGCTGCGATATTACGTGTAGAATTAATTGGTTGATTTATTCATCGCAAAACCGCATTTGAATTTCACCATTTTCCGCTCAATCTCCTTCTGGTCTGAATCACTTGAGGGTAATTCCGAAATGTGGAGAGGAAATAAATGGTCGCTGGCGGGGGGAAAAATAGTTAAACACGACACACCAAAACTCACAATGGGTGGAAGGTTGATTTATGCCTCTAATTAAATTGCAGGGCGCGATTTGCACTATTCACGATACACTTCATTGTCTAGTGTGCCGTCTGGGTTGGATTTTCCATCTGGGACGCGGTCGGGATTTCTCTCGCTGTGTCTCTGGGAAAAATGTAAGCCAGACTAATGTGCTGAGCAAGGGAATGTGTTAGAGAAATTCCTCGGCAGATGATTCGCAATAATTAATGCGACGTGCGTTCTTCTATCATGGAAATGTCTCGGGAAAATATCATCCGTGTGGGTTTAGCTGAAAATACAACGCAAATAGAGAGATATACAGAATTCTGATGAGGGTCAAAATTCTGGGAATTTCGGATTTTGGGATGTGGAAAACTTTTTTTTATTTACTCAGCTTGCCTAATTTAAAGGGCATCTCTTGAAGAAATAGTAAATTTTTGATGCAAAAGTGGTTTTTTAATTAAAAGTATGGCAATATCAATGAATATACAGAACATGTTGAAAGTTTGAACGTGGTTTAATTTTCACTTCGACGCAAAAAGGAAGTCTCTCAAGTCTGAAAAGTTTTCCCAACGAAAATTCACACATGAAGAGAGCGAAAGTGTAGAAAGCTTTTTTTTTTCTTTAAATTCCCTTGGATATTGGGAAATTGCACTTGAATTATAAAGGAAGAGTTTCAGTGAACGACTAAAAAGCGTATCTCTCCTCTGACTGGAGTTTAATATTTTAATACGGGGTAAGAATTTCCTAAATTGCTTATGTGTTGGCGGTTTGTGTTCATTAGGCGAAAGTTGTGGCGCAAATGAGAGAAAATTGTGTCTTCATCGTAGTAAAAAGGCTGTTATAGTCTTGAGAAATTTTTCATTTGGCCATTTTGGGGTGAAAATTGCTTCAGAAAGTGGACGAAATTTCCTTCCAAGTGGATAAATGTGCAAAGAGTGTGAAATTGTAATGTGTGAGAGGCAAAGAAATTGAGATGAGCCAATTTGGACCAATTTAAATAGCTGAAGATCCCTATTTTCGGTCGAGGTGTAATGTGATAAGAATTGATTAGATTTCTTGAAAATTTCATTGGGAAAGTGGCATTTAAGCGTGATAATCTCGTGTAAATTTGATGATGAAATTCCGGGGAAAATTAAATGTCAACAGAGTGTTTGAAATTAATCCTGGCAGAAAATTCTTGGCATATTGTTGGAAATACAAGTGATAAAACTATATAAATAAAGTTCCTATAAAGCATGTCCTTATACATATATAGTGAATTTTTATGGTGATGATATATCGAATATGGCACAAACTCTGCGGCAAATTCAATTAACTCACAGCAGAGTTGGAAGTTTGTACGATCATTTCATCTGAAATGCTTTGTTAGAACGAGGTACAGAACATAATAAAAGTTTGACATAGCAAAGGGGGGAATATATATTGTAAATTTCCATTAGAGCAATTAAACTTTTCGTGAATTATTTCCTCAATTGTCTGAGAACTTGTTTACATTGAATTCTGTGCGGAGGTTTTACAAGATCTCTCACCCACTCTTGTTCTCTCTCGTTTGTTGTTCTACTGCAATAGAAATTGAATTGTGGTGTAATCCCAAAGGAAATTTGTTGATGCTGTGAAAATGATGATGCACAATAAATGTGTTTAGTGTCTATAATCTATCCTTAGGGGATTTCCTTTTGCCTCGGGGAGGAGAACAAAGGCGAACTGAAGAACCATTTGTCTGTCCTTGTGCTCGAGATGGGAAAATCGGAAGTGCAACAACACTTGACGATGGTTCATTGACTGTGGAAAGTCAGTTTTAGAGTGCCGGGTTGAGAGATATGTTCATTGAAATTGGATATGGGAGATGGTGTTGAATTTATTCTTCAAAATCATGATCGCGCGGTTGGAATAATAAACGACAATTTGAATGTGAAAAGATGATGTATTTTTCCACTGCGGCGTGGAAAATCAATGAACTTCGGCATCTTGTGTCTTTCGGCCACGAATTTCCTGCCGTCTTCACTTAAAACACTTCACGTCTGTCGAAATGAGAGTTCTGTCGCGTCTTCCTGTCACCTTAAATCAGGAAATAAATGTTCTCAATGGGAAGCTGGATTTTTACAGTCGGCAATAACGCGGCTGGGAAAATGTGGTAAAAGAGGAAAAGTTTAGTCGTTATTAAATTACACTCATTTGAGATTTTCTACCTTTTCTCATTTTCATTTTATATGCCTTTTCGTACAGCGTCTCGGCAGAGGCGCAAAAAGAAATGCATGAGAGACTTGGACTCGAGCCCAATTCGTTTGAGGGAACATCTGTAGAAATTGCAATCTTCCTCGTTGTCTGACACTCTCTCATATAGTTTTGTTATCTTAAGCCCAGTTGGTGGTTTATTTGGTGTTCGTGTGGCTTTTGTAGCGCATCTCTTGCACTTTTGCTCATCTTGCAGCCTGTGTTTTCTTAACCATTCTCTTTGTGATCTCGTTTTTTGTAGAGCTGAGATTTTTTTCCCTTTAGGAACAGAGTTGTGAGGCTCGTTTTTCACGATGAAATGATTCAGAAAATTGATTTTATGGCATTTGTGTTTCAGCCAGACGCGTCAAATGGGAAGAAGTGATGAGAATTAGCATTTCTAGTGTCTGTGTTTTATCCAAGAAATACCTCTAATCCTCTTTTACCAAATCAGATTTCAAATAAGACAGCGAGAAAGGCCGAAAGTACATCATGAATTTGAGTATCAAAATGAAATGCTGGAAGGAATTGTGGAAGAGACAAGATGAAGAAAATGAATTTAGTGGGCTTCGTTGTACGAAAAAAAAGAGAGAAATGAGAAGCTGAGAAGAATGAAGGAGAGATCCAAATAAAAGACCAAGTGAAGAAATCACACCTTTTTTCCATCTGAATCTCCTGAGGGAATAATAATGCCGAAAACCTGTTCCTGATTCTGTACATCTTCCTCAGAATTTTGATTGTATCACCCGCGATGTCGACGATGGCGTGAGTTTGGCGAAAAGCGCGCCGAATTGGTGCATTTTGTGAGATGATGTGCGTGTGTGGGAAGGTGCCAAAGAAGTTTACGATGAGCTTGAAAGCGGTTTTCTCTGGCTTTCGGTCTCTTTGACGATGTTTCCTTATTTTTCTTGCACTATATTCTGTGTATTGAAATAGGCACGAAATGATAGCGAATTTATCGTGTGTTTTTCTGGGTTGGAGGAAAACCCACCAGTTTTTACACATACCATGAGCTTCTAAATGCCTTGTCATCTCTCTTGTTATCCACTTACGGATGAAACTGAGACAGTGTGACAAGAAGAGGATCTCAATGGTGTTGTTTTCTCTCTAAATAAATCCAATTTTTCACTCTTAAAGATGAGGTCTCGGAATAACAAAGGCTCGCTGAAGGATAAGAGCCTCTTCTTTATTTGGCTGTTAAATTGAAGGGTGTTCAATGGCACAGTCGATGCTGGTTGCAGATTGTAATCTCTGACAAGAGTCTCGATCCTCCGGTTGGTGGTTTTCACAATTGCCCTCTTCGCAATCGAGAAATTGGTGAGCGATTGTTGTCTGTTTCGACAGCAGAGGAACAGAGTGTTCTGTCATATCTCTGAATGAACGCCGTGGAGAAATTTAACACCCTTTTTTTTGTAGGACATGTTGTCGATGAAATATTCAAATAATTCACCCATTCGTCTCTTTTATTGTAGCTCTGGAATTCACACTGGAGCCAGTGGATGTCGCCGTCCAAGAAGGAAATTCCGTTTTATTGCAATGCAGCGGACGAATGGATCCGGCAGCGCTGAAGGATGGGAAAACAGCTCCAAATATTCGATGGAGAGGTCCGGACGGGCAAGAAATTGGAATTGTTGGTGACACATTTAGGTGACGCTTTGTACATTCTTAAGCATGATTTTTTAATACATTCTGTTTTTCTCCAAGCTTGGCTCTGCCAGAGAAGTTTCTCAGTTTATTTGCAAAGCAATTTACTTACTTAATTAATGACTAAAATAAATACATGTTGAGTTATCTCAAGCAGAACTGCAAATTGCAACTGAAATTCTGTGCAAATAGTGAAATTGCGATGCAAAAAGACAGTGCAATTCTCTCTATTTGCGTGACGATGCGTAATCAGTGTTGTGCCTTTACATGGTAAAAAATGTATTTTACAATTGACGAAAGGTCTAGAGAAAAGAGAAGAAGGCGGAATCTGCCACAAATGATAGTTTCTAGAGACTTTTCTTCTAGAGATTTAATAACTTGGATTTGATGAACTCATTTTTCAGTCTAATTTTCCGTGCAGAAAAATCATTCGTAAAGATATGTATTTTCTACCATGTAAGAAATGACGTAAACGCTTTTCAATGTTGACAATCCGCCCAACACTGTGCGTAACTGTGATTTGCTCTGCAGGACACAATTGCAGAATGGGTCGCTGTACATTAGCTCGATAGAGGAGAACCGAGGACTCACGGGGACGTATCAATGCCTATTGACGGCAGACGGGATTGGGACAATAGTCAGCCGCCCGGCGACCGTTTCCATTGCCACGCTGCCCGAGTTGAATCAGGAATTCAACGAGATCTACTTGTTTCCCGGACAAACGGCCTATTTTCGGTGTCTCACGACCAAATTGCCGGCGAATGTGGCGTACAGCGTGGAGTGGATAAAGGACGATGTTCCGCTGCTGGTGGATGAGTCTCGGATGCTGATCCTGCAGTCGGGCGCGCTGGAGATTGATGAGCTGTCGGCCTCGGACAGGGGCACGTATCAGTGCAATGTCACTGCCGGTGGGGCTTCGAAGCTGAGCAGCAAATCGAATTTGAATATCAAATCCACTGCCGGCGTGCCGGAGAGTTTCGCCTCGCCGTCCTTTGTCGTTGTACCGGCGCCGCAGACGGTCAGGGAGGGTGAGACGGTGACGCTGGAGTGCGTGGCCAATGGGAACCCCAAGCCAGTCATCAGGTGGCTGAAGAATGGCGGAGATATTGACATGAAGTAATTACACAGACCGCAAATCAATCGCCAGGAAGTTCTTGCCAATTAACACGTCTTTTCTGTCTTGTAGCGACTTGGATTCGCGATTCCGCATTGTCGGCACGGGTTCACTGCAAATCCTCTCGGCGGAGGACCATGATTCTGGCGATTACCAGTGTCGAGCAATCAACAGTGTGGATTCTCTGGATGCGAGTGCTTCTGTGCTGGTTCAAGTGCCACCCAAATTCATCCAGAGTCCTGAGGACAAGTCAGCGTTCAAGAAGGAGGAATTGGAGCTCGAGTGCGCCATTCATGGCAAACCCACGCCGGTCGTGCAGTGGCTGAAGAATGGGGATCTCATCACGCCAAATGACTACATGCAGATCGTGGGCGGAAGCAATCTGAGGATACTGGGCTTAATAGGGTCAGACGCTGGCATGTTTCAGTGCATCGGATCAAATCCGGCAGGAGCAATTCAAGCGTCTGCCAGACTAGAAATTATTCAACCAGGTGAGAATTTATTCACTTCACGAGGGTTTTATGCAGCGATTTGCATTTATTTTATGTATTTATTTAACTATTTTGATAATTTGAGTTAATTTATGTTATTTCCTTTCTTTGTGTTTTCTCATTTCATCTTTATTTGACTTCAAATTGGGTTACAAAACATTATTTCGCTGGGAGAGAAGATGGTCGTAAGCGAGATAAAGGAGCGGGAAAACCACTTCCGCTGATGCCAAAATCAGCATCGGCGAGTCGAGAGAAGATGCTGAACAATCGCCTGCTGTCCAAAAGTGCCTTCGATAGTCTCCTGAATGCGCCGAAGAGGAGAAACACAAGTGATGACGATGACCTGACTTTGGGTGATTACAATGATGACGATGCAGGAAGTGAGGAGGAGGACGAAGACTATGACGATGAGGAGGATGAGGGAACGATTCATCCTTATGGGCCTAATGTTGATCCCAAGAAGCTCTTTAACTCGCTCATGAGAGCCAAAGATGACTCAGAGAGTGAGGATGTGGAGCACTTTTCTAATCCCTATTTTCCTCCTGTCACACGCAAACGCATAGACGCGAACTTCGAGGGCTCGTCGCCATTGCCAGGACCGCCGCGTGACTTGGAGGCGCAAATTGTGAAGCCGCGCTTCATCTCGCTGAGCTGGTTGGAGCCGCTGAAGAATCCGGACGAGGTGATAACGTACACGGTGTTCTACAAGATGACAACGAGTGATAGGTAGGATTTCGGTCACATTCGTCAATTACTATATTGATCCCTTTTCCCATTATCTTTCGTGATTGGACAGAGAGCGGAAAATCACAACGAAATCGCGTGATGAACAACAAGTGAACATCCAATCGCTGCTGCCCGGGAAAACTTATCAGTTTCGTGTCGTGGGAAATAGTGTTCATGGCTCGGGTGAGACTTCAGCTGTGAGTATCCCATCAATATAACTTATGTTGCTCGCCAATGAATGCTAATAATTGCCCACACACTGCCAGATACTGGAGGAGAGCACTCAGCCTGAGGAGAACATTTCTGGGCCGCCGAGGAGTGTGATGGGAATACCAATTAGTCATCGGGAGGTTCATGTTAAGTGGGAGCCGCCGCTTGTGACGAATGGCCTTATCTCCAAGTACAGAGTGTACTATTTTGAGGTATATGAAGAATGCTAACGATATTGTGTCAATTTCTCCACACAATTCCCTCTTTGTTCCCCCAGATTGAGGATGGTGCTGAGATGTACATGGACAGCACGACGCTCGAGGCGACACTGACGGAATTGCGTCCATTCACGGAATACACAATTTCAGTTGTGCCGTTCAATCAGAATGGCATGGGAGATCCGTCCAATGAGATAAAGGTGAAAACATACTCTTCAACACCTTCTGAACCGCCTCACAATGTTTCCCTCGAAGCCACAAGTTCAACGGTGAGTTTCGTATTCTGCAGTGTTTGTTGGTAAATAAGTGTCTTTCACAGTGGATCCTGAGTGGCAAATTTGATCAGCAAGTAATAGGAATTTAAATTGCACTAAAAATGAATTCAAATTCAGCTAAAGTCTTTACAAAAGTACAGCAAATGTTGGCAAAAAGTATAATTCAGGGTTTGATCTCTTTCTTATATTGGAAAGATTGGTTGCCTTAGAGCCTCAGCGAACACAAACTGCTGAATATTAGCTCTATAGAGAGCAAAAAATTCAGTGGTCTTTGCTATTTTATCGCAATTCAGCAGTTTATGTTCTCTGGGACGATAAATGATTTAGAATTATCAGTTAAAGCATAGTTCGTATTGAGTTTTGAGATGAAACTCGCTGAGAAATCGGCCAGAAATTGTGGAATATTAATGAAAAATCGGCAAATCTCATCTAAACTTGTCTTTATATCTTCTGTCGATGTAGTCCGTGACTATCAGTTGGGAACCGCCACCGGAGGATAAGAGAAATGGCCAGATTACAGGATACAAGATCAGGTACAGGAAGATGAAGAAGCTCCAAGTGGAAACGACGCCGGGAAATGTGAGGCACTACGAGCTGAAGAATCTGGAGAGGCATTCGGCGTATCAGGTGAAGATTTCCGCGATGACTGTCAATGGCTCGGGTCCGTTCACTGAGTGGATGCACGTGCAGACGTTTGAGAATGATCTGGATGAGACACAGACACCAAAACAGCCGGATTTCATAAGGAGTGAGTGAACAATTTAATTTCATTAAATGGAGATGAAAACGATAAAAATATATCGTGCAATAATTGTAATTGAATATTGACAAACAATTGCACTGTTGTGATTGTATTGGCAAAAAGAGTTAATCTGCAGTCATTGATTGATTTTACATGAATTTTCACTCTCCCTCCACTGAATATAATACCGATGAATTATTTATAGACCATCGCAAATTTATGAACAGCACTCAATCATGTTTTTTGGCAGGAAATTATTATACATTGTGTGAATGCAGTGAATATTGTTAAAAAATTGGAGTGAAAATGCGAAAAGAAGTCTATCAATGACCACAAAAAGTGTGTCCATTGTGTATTAATATCACTGATGGATGCTTTGAAGTGCTTATTAATATTGCATGATGGATATTTAATGAAATTGATTGTGCTTTCAGCGCGTCCGAGTGCCGAGAGCATCATTATAACGTGGGGTCCGCCGAGGGACACAAATATAAAGCTGCGCGGCTTCACGCTGGGATGGGGCAAGGGGCTTCCGGATGTGGAGATGAAGGAGCTGGACTCAATAGCGCGGTATTACGAAATCAAGGGATTGGAGCCGAACAGCGAGTATGTGATTTCGCTGAAGGCGAGGAACCTTGTGGGCGACGGGCCGCCGATTTATGACTACGTGAGGACACGAGAGGAGGCTCTGGTGGAGCCGCCGGCGCCGCTGGAAGTGCCCGTGGGTCTGCGGGCCATCACGATGAGCTCCAACTCGATTGTGGTATACTGGACGGACACGACGCTGAGCAAGAGTCAACAGGTGACGGACAACAGGCACTATCTCGTGCGGTACAATCCTGTGGCCACGACGCGCTTCAAGTATCACAACACAACGTCGCTGAATTGCATGATTGGTGATCTGAAGTCTAACATGCAGTACGAATTCACCGTGAAGGTGGCGAAGGGAAGACGCCAATCCGCCTGGTCGATGTCTGTCTTCAACACGACACTGCAGCAGAATCCAATTCCGCCGCCGAGAGATCTGGCAGTTCGCATCGACGATCACAATCCACAGAATGTCATCCTACACTGGCAGATATCCAGTCAGTTCGTTGACCAAGTGACTGGATTCCTGGTCTATTACACCACTGACACATCGAAGAGGGACAGAGATTGGGCAGTGGAGGCGATTGTGGGCAATTCGCAAACAATGGCAGTGATTAAAAACCTCATGCCCTACACAACGTATTACTTCAAGGTGCAGACGAGGAACATCAAGGGATACGGACCCTTCTCAACGATGGTTTCCCACACAACTGGCAAAGGTGCGAGAGTTCTTTCATTGATTCCTTCTAATCTTCCTGCGTGAAGTTCAAAAAGCTCAAAATTTTACCATAATATGTCAAGACTTTTGTACTAATTTCTGTGTATTTTCCAGAAGTTCTCACGCGAGAGCAACCTTCCACTTTGGGTGGTTTCTCCAACACTTCCGTGCTGTACCTGATAATCGGCGTCGCTCTGCTTCTGGTGCTCATTGGTGTGATTATCGTGGCGATTGTGTGTCGCCGGAAGACGCCATCGACGCCGGATCACGCGAAGAAGAGCTACCACAAGAACAATGCCGGAATCATAAAGCCGCCCGACTTGTGGATTCATCACGATCAGATGGAGCTGAAGAACATCGAGAAGAACAATCAGCAGCCGCCGCAGACACAAATCAGCGACGGGGCGTCGAGTAGTGGCGCAATGACACTGCCGAGATCCGTGATTCACGATTATGACAGCGAGACGCCCATTTCGCACGTAACCAACTCGCTGGACAAACGGAGTTACGTTCCGGGTTACATAAGTAAGGCAGAATGAGGGTGTTTTGCCGAAGGGATACTTATGAAGTTCTCTTTCAGCCACGCCGATGAGCAGTTCGATGGAGAGGCCGCAGTTCCCGCGCACGCAGTACAGCATGTCCAGCCAGGGCCACATGTCAGTGGGACAGACGCCAGTGGCACAGACGCCCGAGAATCCCTACGCTTACGAGACGATGCCTTCGAATTACAGGTGAGAATTTCACGGCATTGTTCTGTAATCTTGAACTTCTGCTGATAATTGCTTTGATTGTGCAGCAATCCATCGATTACTTACGCGCCTGGAATAGCCGTTGACTCGGCGCCTAAGCGAGGCAAAGGGCATCCGCTGAAGAGTTTCAGCGGTCCACCGAACACAGGAGTACCAATCATACCAGGTGAAGCGCGGAAACAGTTTTTTCTAGTCACTGAGAAGATATTTCCGTAAAATTCAGAAGAGAAATTGAATCTGAATGTCAATTATCTTGTATTAATGCTCATTTGTGTGTTCTTCTGCAGTTCCCGCCGTGACGATTCGTCCGCAGAACGCGTCGCCCTTCAAGAAGCCCAGCCTGGCCACGAATCCGATGGCGAATCGCCTGCAGAACGGCTCCGGCGTCGTGGCGCACTCGGCTGACGAGGTGCAGCGACTGGCGCCCAGCACGTCCACGGAGGAGCTGAATCAGGAGATGGCGAACCTCGAGGGACTCATGAAGGACTTGAGTGCAATCACGGCCAACGAGTTCGAGTGTTAGGCTGCAGAAGAAGTGGGAATTTGTGGGATCAACACTGCCGATTGAAATCTCAAGAGTAGAAGAGAGTGAGAGAGAGAGAGAGAGAGCTTGATGGCTACAAAAGACTGGCGAGAAGTGTGACAGTGTGTTTAGAGAGTGTGAACTTGTTTAATTTGTCTTTCTTCACTGAGTTCTTGATTTGACATCAATGCTGGGAGTTTGATTGCCCGAATTGGTAATTTTGTGATAGTGCAAATTCTCTGGTTTGGGAGAATTTGCTTCTTAGGACCTTATTTTATAACGATAGGTACAAAATTTTTCTGCCACTAAACTCTACTTTGTAACATGTTTTACTAGGTTTTATTGTAGAGAAATTGCATCACAATGTGAGAAGCTTTATTTTGCCACACACTCGGAGAAATGATGAAAAATTATGATTAGGAAAAATGGATTTGGAGTGTGAAATTTGCGAGCGAGAGTTTTATCCTTTGTCTTCTGGAATGTATGATGATTTTATAAGTTTAATTTATAATGTAGTAATTTTATTTGTGATTTAATTTCCTAAGTGACAATCTTATTTAATGGCATGATTTAAGGAGTATTTAGTTTTTAGTTAAACACACTTTGAGCGCATTTCTCGATGAGAAAACTGTAAAAAGCGTGAAACATCTGAGGTTTCAGTCCTCCAAGCCAACCATGAAAGAATGGTATATTATAGAAATTTATTAACTATAAACTATTCGATAAAATAGCACAAAATATCGGACGAAAGTGCTTCAAATTTGATTGTGAAGCGCATAAAGTTTTATTGAGCCATTAACAAATAGTGCCATTTTTGGTGTATTTTACAATATTATTCATGTTTATACATCTTTTTCCCTTTCTATTGTCTCATAAGAGTATAATGTGGAAATTATGCAAAGAATTTTACGAATTTTGCAAAGGATTTTTGAGAAAATTAATGTACTTTCACCTTTGAACCGGTAAATTTACCACTTAACCGATTTGTGTCTCGGCTAACTTAAGAGATTATGTGAGAAATAGCTGGAAATTTTTGTGTAATTTTGTCTATACAAACAGTATTATTTTGTCCACGAATCACCACATCATCAATGTGTATAATATTCCCATAGAAAATCCACAGCGATTGAATATCATTATTTACCAGTATTTTATATCGAAAGAATATCGCACCGAATAAGTAATCTTCCAAGAATGAATTGATGAAAACCACTTCCTGCAAGAGACTTTTAAAACAAGAGGTTTTTTGACAACATTTTTTTACAATCGCGTGAATGATTGATAAGTAAACTGCAAAAAGAAGCACATAAAGGAAACGAAAAGAATGTAACGTTAAATGTGTAATATGTAAATATACATAAAAATCAATCGACAGACACACAAGTAAAATATTCCCTAAATATAAAGATGTAACATTGAAAAGTGTAAGAATTGCATGAAATATTTTACTACGCCAGAATACACATAAATTTTTCCAACATTTTTGCCACAAAAGAGAAATTTTCACGTGAATTTAGAAGGGGATTTTTCAGTGCACATGAAATATTTTCTATGAAAAAAAGAGGGACTAAAAATAACATGAAGAATATAATGAATATTTCAATTTGCTTAATTGGTATTGAAAGAATATAATTTTGGGCATTTATGTTCTTCTATAAATATGATATAAAGGAGAAAAATTCATGGAAACGCGCTATAAAATATAATTATATTGAACTTATTTCGAAATGGCGTTTTAAAAATGGGACGAAAAAGTGAAATGACAAAGATGTTTTATAATTTGAACTTCATGCGAAGAATAAAGTAAAATGTTTCCTAAACACACAGGCTTTATAACCACTTGAGCAATTAATTGGGAAAGTGCAACAAGTCATTGGTGGTTCTCAGGAATGGCGCGACTTCGTGGAAAGTTCCTCCACGCGTTCACGCAAGTTCAATTAATTCAGCATTGTACTGAAACCTCGAAGAATGTGACACGGTTAATGGGAAAAACACAACAAAGTCATTTAATGCTCAATTATTAAGCATGTGACTTTCACCACGTCTACAGTTTTCCCTCAATCAATGTCAACCCTCAAATAAGGGCTGTCGATGCTGCAGAGTTGAAATCAATGCATTGGCGAGAGAGTTTAAAGTTGCTAATCAGACATGTTGGACACAAATGAGCTTAAATCGTGAGGAAATCGATCAGAATCACGGCGAGAAGAGCCCAGAAAAGTACCAAAATCCCAAAGAACGAGTCATTTTGATGCTTCAAAATGAACTACAAAAGAAGAATTTACTGGGGATTTCGAGAAGATTCTGTGCTGCTTTTGCAGACATTTTGAATTTCTGACCTTTCTAAAGCCATGTTGAGCTTCGAATGAGTGCGTACCTTTCGGACTCAAGCTTGGAGTCTTCAAGAGTGAGAGAAACTTATCGCTGAATATGTGTAATAAATCATGACAGGTGAAATGATTTCAATTCTATTCCATCGATTTGGGCTCCGATCTGTCTGATAAGCAACTCTGGGCCGGTCTATTGTCGCCAGAGGACAATTCTCACGCCGAAGGCCTCAACGTCTTCTCGAGTGCTCGAGGCGGATCCCACGCTTCTCGAGTCCTGGCTCGGGTGATTCCCGTTTTAAATATTTGAAAAGTGTGCCATCGCCATGGCATTCCGCGGCCACAACACAGCGCGCGTCCGGGAATTGAACTTGATGACCAGGTGGAGCTCTCCCAGTCCAAATTGGCAAACATGCCGTGCCGGCCGGTGGGTGGCTTTCGTGTAATCGCTCCTCGATTGTAAAGTTCAACACTATCGCCTCTTGTCAGTTTCCGATGTGACTCTGGCGAGTGTGGAAGTGTCTTCTGAGGACGCGTGTCTGGTGCTTTCCTTTGGCTGTTTGCCTCCCAGAGTGTCCGCAATCTAACCCCAGTGTTTGCAGTGAGTCAAGAGGTCACTCAACTCCCGCTTCATCTCTGTCGAGGGCACGCAATTCTCGATCGAATCCTTTTTTGCTGTGAGGACTCCAGGCTTTTTAGCATAAATTTGCATAGGACATTGCGTGTGATCCTTCAATGCTGGGCGAGGTTCAAGTTCCCAAGAACGGCACGCTTCCGCCTTCAGGCCATTGTCCCGACTAAATAGTCACTTCCTGGCAATTTTCTTTGCTGGCAAACCGTTGAAAATCACTATCATTTCCATCGTCGACGCCAAGTGACCCCTAAAAGAGGCACAAGTGTTCGATTAAATCGATCGCGCCTGCACTTGGTTGCATGTTGACTCGTAAATAATTCCCTCCCACATCGCGAGCAAAAAGTGGCACCCAAAGAGTTGTGCACAGTTGTCTCTTTTGCGTGGCAATTTCCCTCTAAATGTACCGCTTGCGGAGCATTCCGGAACATCCTCCCTGGCAATGTTGAGTGCTGTCTGCAATTTTTGTCCACTGCAACGCTTTAAGTGCTGTTCTGTCCTCTAAAATCAATATGCAAAGACGACAAAGTGAGATGGACTGAAGTGGATCAACTCACGAATGCATTAATTAATTATTTCATCCACTCCCACTTCTTCCCTCTTCCCACTCCACAACTGTCCGAAGGTCCTTCATCCGCATTAGTGCTTAAGTCCATGGCAATGTCTTTCTCGGTGCTCACGAAGGACGTTGCCAGAAGTGATCGGGAAGTTTTGTGGATGTTCTAACATGTTGTGGGAGCTTCTCAACTCGTCTCGCCGATCAACAGAGCCTCAACATGCCGCACTTTAAGCGTCGCTTGCGAAATCGAGCGCTTTACTATCACTCATCACCGCCCAAAGGTAAAGTTTTTCACATTATCCAAAAATACGTATGCGCATATTTTTAGCAGAGCTTTTGAGCTTATTTTCACCCACATTATACACGTAAAGTGAATGCTTTTTGGTTTATACAATCATACACAAATGGACTGAAATGTCCAATTTTACTATTTACTCTAAAGTATGCAAAGTATGTAATTCTGGATTATGTTGGGTGATTAAAATTGACGATATAAATGGGTCGCTAATGCTGAAATAATCTATTTATAGTGCAAAATAGTGTTATTACATTCAAAAACCATTATAATTAATATAATTTCTCTGTGAAATATTTATTCGCAAAACAAATATTTCAACTTAAGCGCATTTGCATAAAACTGTCAGGAAGAAACTCATTTTTCCACTATTGAAAGGAGCTTGAAATTCTCAAAAGCTATGAATTTCAGAAGGCTTCAAGATGAATTTTGTGGGCTGTATTTCTCACTGAAAATGCAAATGCGATGAAGCTCAAATGCGAACTGAATTTATTGTATTATAAAGAATGCAACTGCATTTGCCTTCAGTTGGCACAAAATATGTTTTTCTCTGCAGTTTCGCACTGCTAGAAATCATGCAGATTCTCCTTTCTGGCAATTCAAGCAATAGCAAATGAACAACTATTCTATTAAGTGTGAATTATTGTTAGAAAAGTATGAATGTTTGAATTTTAATTCTCTTATTATTAAGAGATTCATTAATTTTGTGTGAAGTCAAGTCAATTATGCCTGAAATTAAACGCCTTGCGGTCAAACTAGCAAGTAATACAGGTTAAACGGAATCAAACGAGCGTTAATATTAAATCACACAGCAAGAAAGTCACTCTTTCCTCGAGTGTTCTTATCAAAATTGTTATTACCTCCGTGGCAACTTTCTCACCCGCACAACAGTCGTTCTTCTCCCCATAAACAGCACTTCTGTTCGCCACTCGTTCGACATTGTGAATCCTTCCGCGTGACTAAATTGGCAGTCGCCTTTTATATCCTCAGCATATGATTAATTGCCAGAGTGTTTTTGGGGAGCAAAGAGAAAAAAAAACACGAAAGCACTCTTTCGCCACTCGTCATGAGCTTTCAATTGGAATCGATTTCACCGAAGTGCGCCCCATTCGGGTTTATTGGCTTTCGCCACTCACACTCCTCGCATGTTTTCCTTTGTGTTAATGCCAACATTTTCCGGCGTTTTCGCCCCACCCCGCCGAATGCCTAATTGAGGCTCCCCGCCGGAAGTGTAGCGATAGCGTTGCCAACATTATTAATTATTGACTCTTCCACCTTGGAGATAATTAAACTTTCACTTCGTGTCCTTTTGCAGCGCAATTCGGTGAGATTTGGTGCCCTGCAAAAGGCGCCTTGGTCATTTCTCAGGCCGTCGCCCTTCGATTGGCCCCAATTTCTCCACGTGCGCGATGTTGCCTTTGTTGGAACAATGTTTCACTCGGCCGACAAAGGAAATTATGTATCTGTCAATAATAAGTAGATGTAATGACGATAAAACATATGTTAAATCCATTTACTGAACTTAGGAGACTTTTTATGGTGGCAAGTTGAGCTTTATATACTGTATCAGAACCTAGACTTATTTATTATTCTGAAAATCAAATTTCAAAATCAAAAAATAAGAGATATTAAATTTGGCACGTTTTAAAGAGAAATTTATTGATATGATGAAATATTCTGTGGCAAAAAGTGCAAAAATCAATAATTAATATTTTAATGATAATCAAATCATTTGGTAAATTAATTTTACACGCATTTGTAATACTTATTTATATTCGAATTGATATTTTTCATGATATTCAATTAAAACAGCCCAAAGTTAATAACAAAAAATGACATGATGCAATCATTACACAAAGAATGGAGTGTTATAAATGATGTTGAATCTCGTTACATATGGAAACTTTCGATTGATTTTTTTACACTCATAGAAAATGGGTCTAGAAATCACTGATTTTTGGTATTTTTCCAACATCTGATTTTACAATCGCGTTAAAGTGGAATTCAGAATTTAGCACAGATATTAAAGGATGCAAAATATGGAAAAACTCGTATTCAAATCAACACACGTTTCGGCTGAGTGCTCGTGACTCATTTGGCGACTGGCGACGCCTCTGAATAGCTCAATTCGGGACAGTTTTGGGGTGATCCCATCGACATGTCCCTGACCACCCTTCGCGCCCCTCGAGCGGCCCTTCGGCGGAAGCCCGCGCGCGTGGGCTCAGGCAATTGGAATGCAGCGTTCGATTTATCGATTCGAGGTCGCCCACGAATAATAAATGTGTCTGTAAATGCTGAAAGTGTGACAAACACCATTTAGACAGGTGGTTTCCATCCACATTCCGGTTCCGTCCTCAGTGTCGAGCACAAGGGTTGAACGCTTCAGACACGGAATGGAGAGCGCCTAACCCAGTTCTGGGCAGCACTCGAGACCCAGTGAAGACTGTCAAGTTCACAGTTGAGTGTTGGACTCACGAGTGCCTCCGGCGTGACTCGCGGTGCGGAATTCTTGTGACTTTGTCCGATTTATTGCAGCCGCATTCGATCGACAACTGCAGAAGCGGAAAGTGTCACTTTTCCCCACGTGAGAGAGAGAGAGAGAGAAAGAGCGGATTTTCCGAACTCACCATGGAGGAGAATCTTAGCAAAATTCGCGAGGATGAAGGTTTGAAAGCTATACAAGATTTATTTGCTATTGCAATGTTACAGAACAAAATATACTCTTTTCGGCGAATCTCGCTATTCTGCATCCATTTATTCAATTATTCCACGAATGAATGTTTAAAAATTAATAGAAAATATTTATTGAAATAATTCATTTCCAATTGACATGAGATTTGTTAAAAATTCATATAAATCTGAAATTTCCAACATCGTTATTGCTTTGAAAACTTGAATAAATTTCCTATCGAAGTGAAATAGAAAAGCGCCCCTGAAATATTCAATAAGCGATGCAATGAAATATGTATATTTTATGGAAAACATGGAACATGATGCGCACTATCCGAAGAGTCGTTACAAGAGTGCATTAAATAATATTATCCTTTTCCTGGGGGGAAAAGTATTTTGAGCGCCAAAAACTTTGCGAAACCCAGCAAAAGAGCAATTAAGTAGTGCACTTTTCGTACTTTTGACACAGTTATTCACATTTAGAGGCTCTCAACTTGGCAAAGTCTGCACATTCTGCCCCATAATAACACCCTTTATATCGTCAAATTCTACTGCAGGAAAGCAAAATGAACAGTGTGGGAAAAAGAGGATTTACTATATGAATAAAATGTTGGGAAAAATAACTTCTCAAAGGTGAATTGTACTTGAAAAGTATGAGATGAGCTTTTTACCTCCGCTAGACTTTAATTGTTTTGCATTTAAATTCTTGCACAACTCTTTGAGGAATGTTAGTTGGATCAATTGTGGAAAAAATGGGTTTTCCCAGTGCGTTTATCGGGAATTTTCCACGTTCACACGCTCTTTTTTTCCGACACCCCATGACGATGCGAAGTGAGGGCGGGAACTCGTGCATCTGTCCAAATTCCCATGGTTTTATTTTTAGCCTCCGGTGAGCGGGTTAATTTAAACCCCATGCGAAATTAACCTTGTGCATCTCCTTGGGATTTTTCAAAAGGAAAACTCGATGGGGAGAATTAAAGCGATGGCGTTCACATAAATTGGCTGTGTTTCTTCTCTCTTTTCAGTGTTGGGAATGAGTGTTCAATTGGCGGGAAAAGTGGGTCAGGATCCACCTCCGAAAGAAGGTAATTGAGAGCAATGGCAGCGCAGGTAAAATATTTGGAATCCATCATAAATGAATTTCCTCGGCTAATTGACTTTTGTAATATTCATGGGTATTTGAGTGCAAAGTAATCGATTTATGAACTTTTCGCCTCATCTTGCCGGCTTTTTTCGCCCTCTTGAGAAAATGGACTTTATAGGAAATTGATGAGAATAAATTTGAATCTTCTTCAAGCCACATTGAGGGATTTAAATTTAGAAATCGACGTACAACCCTCGGAGAATACTTTATAAGGGTGCATGATGGATTGAGATAAATATAGGCACGAAGCCCTTGTGCGAAGGGGATGACATTCTAAAAAAGATATAGTTAACGACAAAAAGTGGTGTAATGTGATATAATTGCCGTGTAACTATTTTAAGGATCGTGAAATGGATAATTTACGTAATTTTCCACTCCTTTCTCGCCAACAGTCGTGAACGTAAAGCCAGCGAACATTCGCATCTGGATTCACGATAAAGACATACCGAAGCTGACTAAAGTCCTGTGGGCAGGTCAAGGCATGAAATTGCGATCGGAGATTAGCACTCATCCCAGAATGAGGAGATTTCTCGAGGCTGTACCATACATTCTGGTAAGATTGTCTTCCACTCAGTGCGAAGTTCACGATGAGAAGCTCTCGCGCAATTTTCCAACTTTTCTTCCGCTCTATTGAACATTAGGAAATTTAACAGAATTTCCCAGGGTTGAGAGACAAATTTGTTTCGCAAAAAAGCCCCCAAAACACAGTCATTACAGGAAAAATCGATAATGACTGTAATTAATATGTAGAGTCATTGATTGTGTAATTTGCTGTTTGGGAAATATTCATTTCTAATTAAAAATACCGTCAATGCAGATAATTAAAACATCTTGTTATGGTGCGAATTAATTCTGTCACATTTTTTCTCTCATCAAATTCATCATCATTATGCATAAATTATTAATTTGTCAATTTATTGTCACTGAGCGTGTACTTTGTTACATCGCATGAGAATTTTTTTCGGAATTTCATGCATTTTCAAATGTATACTTTATCTCTCGAACCATGTGTCGATTTTCCAGTGAAATTCCTCTAGTATTCTGCAAATAGATTCAATGGGGAATTCAACACGGAGGCAAAACGTTCGATGCCACACGAAAGATAAATGAATCATAATGTTACACAATGTAAGTCATAAATGTAAAATGAAAGATGTGACAATTAGATAATCCCACTCGGAAATTGATATTATTTCCAGATAGAGGAAATGAAATTAGACCATCAATATCGATTGAACGCAAAACTCCAAGACAAATTACTCAAATTGACATTAATGCCAAACACATATTGGCGGTTTAGGCTTACATTTTAGCGAGTTGAAGGATAAGGCAATATATGACATAGTTTTTCCACAATAAATTGAAAACATTTGAACTGGAAGTCGGTTCAAGTTTCTCTCACAAAATATCATTAAAAGCTTCTCATCAAACTGCGCGAGAAAGTTCGTCCTTTCGGGAAGTAATTCTCTTAATCGCCCTTCAGAATGTGATAAAAGACGCCCACTCGGCGTGCGTGGATAATGACCTGGACTACCTGATGAAGCGCACCGCGCATCCCGTCCCGCCGATCTTGCTGTCGAGCAAGGACCAGAACGGCCTCACGGCGCTCCACAAGGCGGCCGGCCTGGCGCACACGCGTGTCGTGGAGTACCTGCTGTCCGTCTGGCCGGAGGCCGCCACGGACGTGGACGACTCGGGCAAGCTGCCGCTGCACTGGGCCGCGGCGGCGAAGAACAATGAGCGCACATTCAATCTGCTCGTGCAAGCGGGCGCCGACGAGACGGCCACCGATAGCGTAAGAATTGCCCTATAGCCGCCCTGTCCGCCGCCTAATTGCGCAGTTTCCCTGCAGAAAATGCGAGCTGCCGAGTACTACAGGCAGAGGCCGCAGGACATCGACAGATCGCTCCTTACCGTGGTGCCCGAGGCGCCGCGCATCGCTCAGACCGTTGTGCCGGACTTCGACTGGAGCATAATAACTGAGCCGAGCAAATGGGCGGGCATTCAAGTAAAATCCGCGTGAAGTGCCATTACATGTTCTTCCTCCCTTTCTTCCCTTTGACAAATCCAAAGACATGCCCCTTGTTTCGCTAACCTGTCCGGAGCTAATCACTTTTTGCAGACACGAGCATCAGTCAAAAAATCGACATCGCTTAGTTTGGATGCCAACGGCAAAAGCACTGCTTTAGAAGCTTCACGCGGAGTGCACGACAAAGCGTCGTTCAGTATCATTTCACGCAACGGAAGCCTCTCGTCAGACAACGTCGACACGGGCTCGGACGGTCGCACGAGTGTCACCACGCCGGAAACTGTGGAGGTCAACGGGTTCAAGAGGTAAGGCAAAGGATTCGCTTGCCAGCAATTGAATTTGCATAAATTGTCCGCAGATTTTCATTAGAGACCAATTTGGGCGTCTTCCCAATCAAATTCCATTCTGCACGACATGTATATTCCGCATGTATCGAGGAAGAGGGAAAATTGAAAGTACACAATAATTTGTGGGGGATTTTCGAGGATATCGCGTGGCGAAGCTTTAAGCCCGCGCTTTCCTTTGTTGAGAGCTTTTTCTGCTAAAAAAAAATTATGCGTCTTATCAGATAATTGCTTACGCGAAGCAGAACGTGGTTGAATGTTAATAGGAAAATTCCCTCTTTCAGCGAGGGTGAAAGCGTAGCAATTCCAGAAGAGGAGGAAACGATGCCGGGGAATTTACATGAGGCCGCAGCGCGGACTGTTGCTTCTGTCGCACCATCGGCGATTTTTGCCAGGTCAGCCAAAGCCACGGACGCGAGCAAGAGACCGCCGACGCCGCACTATGTAAGTGTTGTTCAACAGATTTTATGCAAACACTTCTTTTTCCAACTCTGCGTGCCTTTGCCTCTGCTCAGTCTCTTCATGGTGCTTTCGGAAATCACCAAAACACTCGCATTCACTTGCATCAAGTCGCTGGCACAAGACAATTTGATCTGTGGGGGTGGAAATTGTCGGAAATGCTCATTTTACCTCTTCTCACTCTTTAGGGACAGATTACAAGTTTCGACTCGCTCATCGTCAATTATCCTGGTAGTATCCTTTGGGAGAAATCATTCATTGTTCGCCTCGTCTTCTCATTTGTCTGCCACTTCGCGCTTTCACGAGCATCTGCATAAGGACGCAACAAGGGGGAGATAGAGCGGCTAAAATCTGTGCACTCCTTTTGACACTCCCGAATTTCCCTGGAAAATCTCTGCAACTAAAATTTGTTGATTTCAATTCCAAAACCAGTCAGAAACAACTGAAACTGTTCTTAATTAATATTTCTCTGAAATGCTATTTTTGAAGTCATGCTGAACCTTTTCATAAATTTTAGTGCTTTTTATCCTCAAAAAGTTCAGTCTTGACTTTAGCACAAGAATGTAAAAGATTGAAGGACTTTCGCAAAACGGCACATCACTTTTTACCACAATATCTCCCTCTTGGTACGGATTTCTTCTCAGTAATTTGAAGAACGCTATGCAGTGAGCTCATTATTCCACAAATTTGTCTCTTCTCCCGTGATTCTCCAACTCCTTTCACTTTTTATAGCGTGTTATTGAGGAGAGTTTTGCAAATGGCAGCGCAGCTGCCAGGACTGAGAGTGATGCCAATGGGAAGGATGAGGAGTCGAAAGAGGGAATTTCTGCAATTACAACGCCACAAGAGAGATTAGTGTCCCAACCAGAGGCGGTGTCTGACTTTGCGGACACACAAAATCAGTTGGACACCGTGGAAGAGAAGTCGCTGGAGGGCGTGGAAATTGAAACAATCCCGGTGAACGGAGAAGTGAACAATAATGAGGATTTCGGCCTGGAGACCATCAAGGACGAGGAGGTGAACGGAGCCGCTGAAGAGCAACAACCCGCGACGGAGGAGAAGGACGAGAGTCCCTCGGAGAGTCCCTCGAGGGAGGGCGCGCAGGAGACTGAGAGAAGTGACCCCGAGGTGAGGGGGAGTCCCGGGATCAGGTCCCACCTGACTGATGACGATGCACCCGCTGAAGCGGAGTCGATGGCTGAGGGGGATTCAATTAATCGAGTGCCAAGTGCTGAGCAATGCGACGACAGCGGCGATACTGTGGGCGGCGACGCAATTTCCCAGGCGCCCGCCGAGGGGGAGGAAGTGGGGGCGGACGATGAGGAACTGCAAGAGGTAACACGACAGGAGATGCACAGTGCAATTTCTATGCAAAGAGTGCAATTTTCTCACTTGACTTCCACCCCTCGACACTCAATGTTTTGCCCGATTGTTGCAAATAACACTGGAATTTTAAATAATGGAAGAGAAAGCGTTTTGCGTTTCTGGATTTCACCTTGCAAGTTACATTCAGGGAAATTTATGTGTACTGAAATGAGTAACACTTAGAAGGAAAAGGGCAACGAAAGATATAGAAATACATTTCCCAATCTGGTCAATATTGCCGGGAGGAAAAACGAAACAACATTTCTTGCTATTCCCACAATTTGAATGCAGAAAACAATCAAAAACTCCTTAACTTCTTGGTCTTTCTTGTTAATAAACTTTATATTAATTCCTGATGATGTTCTTGAGAAAATTGCCATTTAAAGCACTTGTTCAGTTTACAGTGAATTTTACTCGGGGCATTTTTATTTCAATCGGGAAATATTCAAGAAAGTAATATTTTTATACATAAAATACCGCCAGAAAGGTAATGTGGACTTCAATCAATGGTTTGAGAATGCTGTCTATAGCTTTATCCGAATGCAAAATTGAAAATCTTCCGAGAATTGAGTTAACAGATCCCCTGAAAAATGTATATCGACATCTTTATCTCCTCCCTGAGGGAATTTCTCACTCCAGTTATCCAGACAGACATTCCTCAAGCCTCACCACTCTATCAATCATGTGAAAACTCGGAAAAATTTCCGTCCTGGAACCACTTCTTGTGCAGCTGAGGGGAAAAAATCACATTAGTCCCCAAAAAAATGAGAAGTGAATTTCATAGAGATTTTTCTAGTTCCCATTCAAGTGGAAGAGGCTCTCAAAAAGACAACTTCAATATGTGAAAAGCGTCTTTTGAGACACACTTTTTTGGGCATTTTCACTTGCCATTTATCACTGAGGGCGCGCGTATTGTGATGCAAAAATGGCTGACAAATGAAGGAAATATGTGGAAAATTTTCAATTGTATATCACCTGACATTCACACGCTCATGGTGGAAAATTTTCCTCAATACAGACATCAAACAGTGATCGGGAAAGTGGGTGAAGTGGTGAAAACAAACAGAAGTAATCATTATTTGCCTGTATTCTCAAGGACCGTTGAGAAAAGTGTAATTTTTACCGGTGGAATGTGAAGTAAATTAGCCACAAAGTTCCATTTCTGTTTCCCTTTAATTTCCTGCCAAGCATGGGGTGGGATTAGAGTGGGTGTTTTCATGCCCAAATGAAATTCGACAGGTAATTTTCCCTTTGCGCGGATTAATTTGAGAGGTGAAAATTGAGCAAGTCATTGTCTTGTGCAATATTTCTTTTTCCCACACCCTGCATTTTTTTCTCTCTTGTGAACCCTTCACAGTCAATTGCGTATGATTTGATAATGTTTGTAAAGAATGCTAGACCGAAGCAGACACGAGTGCCAGCACGAGGAAATGTTAAACAGATGAATAATTGATGGCAAGAAATCATCATCGATTTCTCCTGCAGCACCTTTTTGTCAGTCACTCTCTCCTATATTGATTAATGGCGTACGAATGTTGGGTGAATAATCAAAGAGTGTTAATGTTGTAGCGGGGCGAGGAGCCGCCGGGCGGCGCGATGGAGATTGAGGGCATCGTCCAGGGCGAACCGGCGACTGGACAGCAATCAGAAGGTGGGAATCGTGTCGGCGATGAGAATGATGATGAGGTGAGAGCAAGTATCCGACACGCAATCCCGTGCAATCACGTCGTCTTTGTTTCAGCCAGCGGATCAACAGCAGACTGATAAGATTAGAGCTGCTATCGAGGCGGGGGACATGGAATACCTGGCGGCCATTGTACTCGATGGCCAGGGCGGCAAATTGATGGGACTCGAGACGACTCAGCCCGAGATTCAGGCGTTCCTCGACAATGTTTCGGCGTACATGGTGAGGGAGTTAAATACTTACTACACATATCCCTGCGGAAACCCTCCTTCAGGAATCCCCTACAATTTATTATTTTGTGTTGAACACATCTTAATAACATTCTGAGCCGTCTGGACCTCAAATCGTGCCAAATTCTGCAACAATTGGGCTGCTTTTGCTTCTCATCTCTTCCAATCTGGACTGAAATCTTAAGTGTAATATCGCATGCAATTTTCGTGCAGGCTAAGATTCGACGAGTACACTTGGCGGCGCGGGAAGGGAACTTGAGGGATCTTCAGTCAGCCCTCGATCGACGCAAGTTTGCCGTCGCCAAGGACGAAATCTCACCGAACGGTGCGACGCCTCTTCACGTGGCCACGATCTTCGGTCACACGGGAATAGTGAGATACCTGGCAGGTCGCTTTCCAGAGACGATGTCTGCCCTAGATGAGCAGAAGAGGACACCCTTGCACTACGCGGCGACCATTCAGGACAACGGACACTTCTACAACCTCCTGGTGCACATGGGCGCTAATCCAAAGGCCCTGGATGAGGTACGCTAGAGCTCTAATCTTGCAGACATTTGTGGTAATCACGCTAATTGTCCAGGAGGGCAACGCGGCGGAGTTCTACATGATGCACGACCGTGCGGAGAAGTTTCTCTCGCACAAGCAACTACTGCGCAACTTCGGCGTGCAGGAGCAGGTGGCGGATGAGATGTTGAACGATCAAGGTCCGAGTGCACGCGTGCTAGAGTGCCCGACGTGACTAGAGCTGCAAATTCTTTAGACACTTTTACCATGATTTCTTTAGATTTTCTGTCCTGACTTGCTGCATGTTTTCTCTCTCCCCGAATGTTCCCTTCATCCCTCCGATTGCGTGTACATAATCAACAGAATGCATTATCTTATGATTTGCCTCCTAATCACATCCACCGTGATTCTTAGTGTATGCAAGTGAACGGTCTTGTAAACATTTTTTTGACTGTGAGTTTTTCTGGCGATTTCGCATAGTGCCGGATGATGTCCACAGCGCGCGACGTCTGCTCGATGATGCTGACATACTGTCCACGCTTGAGCGGTGCTTCAAGCTCATTCACGACAGCAGCCGCACGCCGTCCTTGGCGGAAATGCCCGCGCGCAACATTATCCCGGGCAGCCGGACGTCGGCTCGCGTGACTGTTGTCAACAACCTGGGCCGCTATCTTAAGCGGAACGTCTTCGATGCGGTCAAGATGCGCCAGACGCGCCTGGATCACAATCTCTTCGACATCATCTGGCCGGCGATGAAGAAGACCCACCAGCTGCGCCTCATCGATGACGATGCCGAGGCAGGAGTTGTGATTCCGGACTTTGACTGCTATGTGGTGTTCAGGGAGTTTCTGGTGCCACTCATAAAGGACATCCATTGTCTAGATGTGTCTCAAAACCTGAGACCGCATCCGACGAGCAACTTTTTCCCAGGCGGATTGCAAGACAATGCTCCGGCTGAGGTAAAGAGTGAGGAATCAAGTCTCGAGCCTGATGCCCTGAGGGACATCCATCTGAATCTCGATCCTTCTGGAAAGTACATCAAATCGACTCTGGTTGAGTGCTGTCGAAACTTGGATGTTTTCGAACTGCCCTTGAATCTCACAGTTGCTCAGCTTGAGCATGTCGAGAGGATCTTGACTGGAAGATTGCTGAGCAGGGACTTTTCCGAGGCCATCGGAGAAGAGAGTCTCGGACAGTATTACTCAATGAACGAAGTGCTTGAGAATCCGTCGGAGATCAGGACGATGTTGTCAGCCTATGGCCTTTTGATCCCTCTCTTAGACGCCCAGGATGCCTGTCAATTGCCAGAGTCACTGGCCCTCAACGGGCAGTACTGGCCGTACGGCAGAGGAGTCTACGTGAGCGCTTCGAATGATCTCGTGGCCTGGATAAATTGCCAAGAGCATCTGCGGATTCTCTGCTCAACACCCAGCACTGCAGTTGGCGACATTGGCATAGCTTTCTCAAAAATTGGTAGAGCGGTTCAGTTCCTAGACGCAATCATCAGCTTCCGCAACACTTACTACCTGGGCAATCTGACTTCCAGGCCATCCTACTTGGGCACAGGCCTGCGACTATCCTACAACATCTCCCTGCCGCACCTGATGAAAGAGAGCGACAATCTGCGCTACCTCTGCACCACAAGATGCCTTCACATGACGAAAGCCAAGGCAAATGCCGCAAGTGTCTTTCAGACCGGCATGATAAGGCTGAGCAACAAGCAAAGTGTGGGCGTGACAGAGTGGCGTTTGTTCATTGACTTCTGCACGGCCGTGGCGAATATCCTGCAGCTGGAGAAGGATCTCTCGTTGACCAACACGAAGCACATCGCTTCCATGTTCGTTAACATCTTCCGCAAGAAGAAGCATAGCTTGGCCGAGACCAACAACTGACTTTTCCGCACCTTTTGCATTCTGTGTACATAGATGGAGCAATATTTCTCAGTTCTGTGTTAGCTAAGAGCATCCACTGTGTGTTTCTACGAGAGCATCACCTAGAATGACCAGAGCATCCTGGACACCTGTCTTGCGCATGTGGTTCAATCATCCACGCATCCGTCCTCCTAGAGGAGAGCCGCTAAACTGACAAATCTAACACTCTCTAGAGGCAATTATTGGCCCTCTTTTCTCATTTATTATTTACTTTTGTTGGAAAGATCTTCGCCAGCTCATCTCTCATCCCCCAAAACCTCATCCCGCGCCTTCTCTCCCTCCAAAATGCTCGTTAAACACATGAAGAAGTGCGGGTTAGTAACATCTCTATGGACTATCTTGCATGTGTGTTTCTCTGTTGGCAGCAAGTGTTGATTTCTGCACAAAACAGCTTTACGTGTGATTGACTCCCTCGCGGCCGTGACAGAATCTTTCCAACAAAATGCACTTTTGCTTCGAGCCGACTGCCTATCTCGCATTTCACGACTCCATGAGGGACAAATCGCATTCCTGTGAGTGACGAAAAATCAATACGTGCCTTTGGAACAGTGTATTTATCGAGAACAGTCAGTTACGAAGCTTTCTCATCCATTTCTGACTGCTTCCATGCTTCAACTGACTTTTGTCAGTGGAACTATAAACATTTCTTTAAATATGCATTACATATTCTATCAAATTTGCATGGAATATTGAATCAATGTTCTCGGTTTATTGAATCAATGTTCTTAGTTTATTGTATTTCGCATTAAACTAAGTGCCAACAAACTCGCCATCAGATTATTAAATATTCTTAAAGTGTACCCAGAAAGGCCTAGAATTTGCAATTTATCAATTATTCAGAATGTGATTAAGCATCTTCCGTCCCTTTTATTGTGTAATCCAGACGAAAGGTGCACAGACAAATTTCGCTCGACCATTAAATCGATAATCTGATTTGTTCCTCAGCGAGTTGATAAATGGGTCGACCTGCTTTAAGAAGCTCACTCCTGCTTCCTTTTCTTTGCTCTGAAAAATTCCACAACCAACTTTAAATGGATTAGTAGCAAATCAAGGAGGAACTCGTGTGTGTATGGAAGATCTCAAAGAACATGACATGAGAAATCATTAATTCATCATGTGCTCAATTGTGATTCTTGGCGGAAGTGATGGTGCTTTTCGCATTCAATTTAAGAGCAAAGATTACATTTCAGTGACATTTTCTGTGACTTCTTCTGCTGGCGAAATGAGAAATTTCACCATGGGAAATCTCAGTAAATTTTAGATATATAATAATTGAAAGCTTGGAGTCCTCATAAAAGTCCTCTTATTGACAATTTGCGTTACACGTTGAACTTTTCTTCTTCGTCAAATTTCAATCACAATCTAAAATGGGAAAATATTGTGGGTTTATTAATTTTGTCTTGCCCTTTAAACTGTTGAGAAAGTTGTCCGCCTTTAAATCCACGCTTTCCCACCGTATTTGACATGTTTTCGTGCTCTATATTTAGGCTCATTTGCCAACAAGAGAGAGAGGCTCATGAGCGGGATAGTGTGAAATGTTGCGCATTTTCAATTTCCCTTGCAGACATGAACGACAGCGGCAACGGCAATCTACTGGAGATTCCCTTGTTCAGGACGGAGGAAGGACGATATTTGGCTACAAGTAAATTCACGTTGGATTCTATTTTCACATTTTCCAATTTACCACCCACCTTGTTTTCCTATGTGCGCCCAAAGTGTCTTTATGTATATCATTTATACTGAAACTCTGTTGCACGCCCACGTTCAGGTCTGGGTGATCCTTTGATAAAGGGACTCACCGAAGTTGCGAATCAGCGCCCGGAAAATCCTGTTGCATTTCTCGCGAGCTACCTTAACAATTTCGTCAACAAACCAGCATCAGACGAACAGCAAATGGTAATTTAAAATATCACCTTTTCACGCATCGCCAAATGTCAACTATATAGTTGCTATAGTGCTATATAATTGCCTGTGCGCGCTTTTGGTTCGTGCGCACCAATCAGTCTTGCTGCACTCAATAGCCTGGATATCATTTAATTATCAATATGACTTTTGATAAGCGCTTTTTCATAAATGACACAACAGAGAGAAACCCACGAGCTCAGCATCCATTTAGCATTCGTTTGATTGAAATATTCATTCCACCGATAAATTCACCCCAAAGATTGTATTCATTTTTTCTGGTCAGCGCCACAAAAACTCGCAGTTGGAAATTTTCTCATGCAGAAAAATGATTTGCCATCATTCCAGATCCCGGCAAAAAGCGACACGAAGGAGAGTGGGGCTCGTGAGGTAGCCGGAAGGAGTGTTATTGATCATCCTGTTGCCGATGCTGTGCCTTCGACACCGTCGCCCGACGAGGAAGAGACAACCGGAGCTTTTGACCGAGTGAGTGCGGGATGACAAGGCTACTTTTCCGATTGATTCTCTGCTCTTCCCAAGGGAGAAATAATATGGCTGCAATCTGTACACCGACACTTTCACAGTGCGAAAGAAAAAAAAACCATAATACTTCTTGGAAGTCTTAGAACATATCAAAATTTGAGCAAAACATTTGACATAATTTTTGAATAACTGAGCTGAGTCCTAACACTTTAGACCCAAATATCTCTCCCTTGGGATTTCCCATTGCCTTTCCGAGAAGAGAATTTAAGCTAAAATTCGAAACTCCCGCAAAGCTTTAAGTTGTGCTATTGTTGCGTCTCGTTTGCGGTCCATTGAGAAATCACAGGTTTGTGAGCGCTGTTTTTGGTTTTGTTTCTCAGGACGAGCACGGCCAGAGCATGTTGCACTTCGCCTGCGCTCGTTCACACGGCAGAAACGCTCTGTTCCACCTGATTGAGGAGTCAGGCGTGAGCATCACCTTCCGAGACGAGCTTTACCGCACTGCTCGGGATGTGGCTCTGCAGGCCAGCCAGGCGTCGAATGCCAAAGAGTTGGACCGGTACGTTGTTGCTCTGGCAGCTCGCGGAGACATCGACACGTTCCAGGCGATGCTCCTGGACGGCTATGACCACATCCTGGATCCCAGGGACGCCGAGGGCAACAGCATTACGAGTGTGGCGCAAGCAAGAGGACATCAAGAGCTGTTCAAGTTCCTCGAGAGCATTCCTGACTTTGAGGAGCGCCGCGAGAAGTGTCACAACATAATTCGCGACGAGGATCTGGAGAGACTGCAGCGATTCCTCGACTCATCATCAGACGCCATACGCCTCATGAAGGCACGCAATTACTATGGTGAGTCCGAGAGTATTTATTTTTCACCCTCATGCACATTTTCTTTCATTAATTGCGCCCCGCGGAGCTTTGGTATACAGTTGACAAATTAATAGCAATATATTTCACGTGAATAAACAGTAATTTAAACCGTGAAATGCGAATATTGCATTGAATTTCCTCACTATTCAGTTACATATTGAATTATATTGGGAGTATGAGATCAAACCAAATTTGCCATTTTGAGTGAATCAACTTAATCAACAGGTTAATTGTGTTAAATGAGTTATTTGAGTGCGTTGCACATGTTTATCTGTACTGAATTTTAGCACACCTGCATTTTCACCATTTCCGTAATATTCGCAGGAAACTGTCGCGCCTGACAGTTGTGTAATAAAATATTTATTTCAATTTCAATTGAAAAGCACCATGATTTGTATGACTATTGATTTGCATTTCTTTAATCAGATAAATTACTGGACTAATTTTAAGGGTTGTATTAAAGCTTCTTGCCTAGAATACTAGCAATTCTAACATTTCAAGGGAACATTAACTTGGCAATGAACCCAAAAATGCGATCATAATTTGAAACAAAAGCTTTTGTTCAAAACCCAACAACGCCTATGGCCATATGTATGCCTAACTGCTCACTTTGTCAGGTCGAAACGCCCTGCACATCGCTGTGCTGAAGGAGAAAGAGGACGTCGTGGAGTACATCGTGACGAATTTCCGCGCAACAATCAAACTTGGAGACAATGTAAGGGCAATTTTGCCGTAATTTGTGGCGTAATTGAATTTGATGACTGGACATTCTGTGCCTACAGCTGGAGAGGACTCCACTCCACTATGCCATGGGAGTGTCCGCCGTGGAGGCAATCAGTCGCATTTTGATCAAGAACGGCGCCAAGCGCGTGGTGAAGGATCTCAAGGGGAGACAGCCGAGTTACTATTTCATGAACAAGTCCGACATTCTTCGTCTGCAAGAGGAGGAGCACCACTGAAACCCTCGAAGCACATCGCGCACTCTGCAAAGAGCACATTAGATGTGATGCAAGTACTGTCCGTCGACTTATTGAACGTAGGCAAGAGTAAGGACGCAATTGAGAGTCAGCATAATGTCTTTCTTTTTCGCACACATTTAGCGTTGGCTGTAGTTTACATTCATTAAACTTATGTCTCTTAACACTAGTGAAAAGCAGGAAATTTGACAAGGAAATAATTTATATATGTAAAAGATAAACTGTAAATGCAACATCACTTTTGGCATCTCCCCTCCTCCACCTCCTTCTCTTTGGCAGTCATTGCGAGCTTGGGCTCCGGATTGTTCCACGTCTGGATCTCTGTGCGTCCGAAAATCACAAAGAGCGTGTTTCCCACAAGATAAATCGCCGCCGAGATGAAGAAGACCAATCGCCACTGATACGGATCGGTCTGCGGATGGAAAAAGAGCGGTAAGGATGACTGTTTGGCTTTCCTTGGCTGTGCAAACAACGTACCGAATCCTGGACGACGAAGCCCACGAGCAAGGGTGCAATAATTGACATCACATTGGCCGCTCCGTTGGTGATTCCCATCAGAACGCCAGCGTGATTCGGTGCCAAATCGATGTGATTCACCTGCAAACAGAGTTGGATGGATGGTTAGCATTTTCTCCTTCTTCTCAAATAAGGTGCTTGCGGCGTGAAAAGAATGAAAATTTCAGTGTGACGCGGAAAGTGTTGCAAATGTCATTCACAATTCTTTCTCTCGCGATTAGCAAGAATTCCACACAAGGCCAAGTTCAGTGTCGCGCTTTTCTATGCTGAATCACACACTCAAAGTGATTAAATATTCACGCCAGTTGCTCTTTTTTGCCCGCGCACACGAGATACAGTCGAAAATCTATATCTAGAGATGGTTAATGGCCAATAAATTGGCGGGAGATCGCTTGAATTATCAGTGAATTGACCGGTTGAGATGTCGATTTTGGCGCCGAAATGCCGCAAAAGGCCACACCACATAATTGACTCATACATTAAATACGTACGACCTGTCAGACGCCTTGTAAGGTGATTCGACACAGAAGATATTCTTTTTTCAGACCAGGTCTGTGGGAATTCCCAAATCGGAGGCGTGGGAAAGAATCATTTGTAAACAAATGAGAGGCAATGAGCAGGAGAGTGGCAAAAAGTCGTCGCGAGTTCTTAAGCCTCATCCAGATCGTGCACAGAATTGGAGTCTTTGCCTTTCGGCCAGTGCGGCTTAATTCTCTTCCACACATCAAATAAATATTTGGCATTAATTCTGGCGTGTAACAACATTGGGAGAAACAATTAAATAAACCCGCGCGCGTTTCAGCAAATAAAAGAATGTTTGCCCCTTCCAAATTTACTCTTTCAAATCTCTCTATTTGCCCTGCTTTATCTTCAAATCATTCTCCCAACATAATTTTCTTTCCACCTCGCCGCTGATAATACGCAAGTTGTTAATTGATAATTTAGGATACACTTCGCATCTCCAATTGCTATTTATCATGTGCAGTGAAATTGCACGCATACCAAATAATTACGTCAAGGCTATTCTGGTCTCTCTAATAATGTAATTTATCGCAAGCAAATTGGTGTATTTAGCACGAGAGGCCAAGGGTGTGCTCTTTGGCCGCGCACTTCGAGAGATTTCAGGGCAGATTTCGCTCACCTGGAAGCCCAAGTAAGTGGCTGAATTGATGCCCACAGCGATGGTGAGCAGTCCAACTGCCAGATCCACGTTGTCCTTCGTCACGTAGCCGAGCGCCACCAGGGCGAACATGGGGATCAAGTGGCCGATGCTGTTGAAGAGCTTGCGACTGACGCTGAGCGGGATGACTTCGCGGCGCGACAGGACGTCCGCCAGGTAGCTGAAGACGTAGCTCATGAGGCACATGGCCAAGTAGGGCAGCGCGGAGAGCAAAGCGTTCTAAATGCAAATGATGTCGATCAGCAATTCAAAGGACTCTCTGTCACTCTTGGCAACTCACCTGCTTGATGTCCATATCGAGGACGTTCTTCATGTAAGTGGGAATCTTCGTGAGGAGCGTCCAGAAGCCCCAGTTGTGGCCGCAGTGCACAAGCATGAGCGAGAGGAAGGGCAGCGAGGTGAAAATCTGCATCCAAGGCGTCGCTGTGCTTCGCTTTTCCGGCTGATGATATATTATTTTTCATACATTTTAAATGTTCAATCTCTGCATGAATCACACTCACTTTCTCTCCCACATTCAGAGACTTCTCGATGAATTCTTTCTCCTCTGGCGAGATGCTCTTGAACTCGGACGGGGAGTTGCCGCCGAAGAAGTACCACAGGACTGACCAGAAGACACCGGCGAAGCCCGCCACGTAGAAGACACTCGGCCAACCGAGGAAGGAAGACGCTAGGAATCCACTGGCCGATAGCATAATCACTGTGCCGAATTGTGCGCCTGGGTGTCAAATTTAACCATATCAATAATTACGTCTTTACCAGGGACATTTGAATCCTTCAAGGTACATTCCAAGTCACAGAAGCTTGGATTGATGCATCTAATTGCATGTCCTTCTGATTGTAATTGCGTGCAAACTGCGGCGGTGGACAAAATTACAGTCTTTCCCTATAATTTCGTGAAAATTTAATTGAAACGTTCAGGATAACAATTCAATTTGATCTAAATCGTCCTCTCTAATTAGGAATGTCCCAATCAATCCGAACAAGGCCACTGTTCAGAAGGATATTTAATGCGCATTTCGAATGAAACTCATTGATTCACTCTTCCAGGTGTTCTGAAAAACTACCCGTATAATGAAAAGTTTTTAATACAATAAGGATGGCAAAGACAAGTCTGATATCCTTGGTAACAAGTCCATTTAGCTGAGAGTATAGCACGAAGTGTTTTTGAGAAATTGTGATGAAAACTGCTGTACATCATTTGAAGATACTCCGTATTCTATAAATCTGCACTGGTATAGCTTGAATACGTTCTAGTTTTGACTAGCATTAGCATACTAAATTATATGCAAAACGTGTAAGCAAATGTGTGCGATAAGACATTTTTGGGCAGATTATCTTTTTCCTCAAACATTTGCACAGACACCGAAAAGAAGGTCAAATTGTCATGTCACCCAAAGTCATGATTAAAGGTAAGTGATAAACTGGCAAAGTGAAGTTTGCGTCAAAGAATATGGCGAGAGTATTTTGCTGAATTGAAAGTGTGCAAATCTCGAGATAATCTTTTGCGTGCAACTCTGCTCTGCATCATCATTCCGCTCACCTGAGTAGCAATAGGTGCTGAGCTTCCCGCGCTCGGAGACGGGCGCCCACTTGGACAGCAGGGTGTGGGTGGAGGGGAAGATGAAGCCCTGGCAGAGTCCCTGGAAGACGCGGGAGGCGCACACCAGCTTCCATCCGCCGTACGAAGCGCCCAGGGGCGTGAGGATGTTCAGAACGGAGCAAATGGCCATGGCGAAGATTAGCATTATCTTCGCGCCGTACGTTTGCGCCAGCTTCCCGGCCGGCACCTGAGTCACAATGTAGCCCCAGAAGAAGCTGCTGAGAATCACCGACTGCGTCTTCTCATCCCAGTCGTACTCCTGCGCGGGCGGGGAGAGTAATTATTGTCACTGTTTGCACATTTATCTGCGGGATGGTGTTTAAAGTTTCTAATTGCTGTGGTCGAGGCAAAAAATCTGCCATGCAGAGCATCATTTATTATTAAGAGGGTGTATTTTGCAGTGCTCAAGAGAGTCTCTCGCTAAATTGCATTGCAATTTATGACATTACAAAACTGTGCAAACTCATACGGAATTTCATACAGCTGAGGCGACAGAGCAAAAAATGGGGAACAGATTTGCTTATTTTGATGCGGTTCACATGGATCGAGATTAGGAGTCAGAAAATTTATACTTTCTCTAATACAGAAAGCATTAACAAAGTCTTCTCAATGCCTTTATCTCCACTGTTCATTAGAATAATAATAACAATTTCAATAAATTCACATTTCATCCTACCTCGTCTCCAAAAAAAGAAGCATGAAAACTTGAAGCAAAAAAAAGGTAAATTGAAGCACAATATTTATCAAGAGATTTTTTTCTGAGCAGAGTATAAACATATTTAATTTCATTGCTCAATCTCTACAGCGAAGCAGAGGAACATTCATCGTATATCGTTCTGTCGAAGTTGCAATAATAACCTTACTTTCACTTGACTTTTACATTTTGTACTTACGGAAATCCCAAGTTCACAATGAAAAGTATTCCAGTCATTTTTGTACTTTTACTACATTGATAAAATCGCGTCTGGGCGTTAAAGAATACACCGAAAACCGTTTACTGTCGCTGAATTCATGAATAACACGCTGTGTACATCAGAGCGCGAAATTGTTCCACCTTGACACGTCCCTTTTTTGTGCACTTTTCCAAACAGAAATGCGCGTTAATAAACAATTTAAAAATTAGTGAGCGGATTTCCGTCATTCTTTTTATCGATTGTCTCCATTGATATTTTTCACTCCGCTCACTTATCGCAATGAAAGATCAGCAGCTGCAAAGCACTTTTCTGCCGCGCTGTTGATCGCATATTCGAAAAGAATCACTATCACTTAACCCGCGCTGATGATGCTATTGCGAGTGTTGCAAGTTATTGTTGGGTTATCTCGTTAGGAGAATTTCATATAGTTTCCTCACCACGCAGATGATATTGAAATCACCTTAGCTTGTTTAATTAAGCGTCTATTTCGGCTCATTACTGTCTCTTCACGTGGGAATGCTAATTTTTCTGAATTTTTCCACGATATTTGAACAAGTGTCTGACTCACCTCAAAGTTGGGATTAGTGGAATTTCTGTCCACCATCGCGACAATTGCCACGGACAGGTTGACACGCATGGCGTAGGCGATTGTGAGGCAGAGGAAGAGGAGGAATGTCTGCAGGTGTCGAACACCGAAGAGACCACCTGTTGGAAGATAAAAATTGTGGAATAAACACCAAAATTCACCTTCCATCGCATTTTTTTCATGGCTTTATCAGTGAATAGAGAGAACAATGAGTGATCAAACCATCTCTGCCATTGCCAAGAAGAGGTTCTTGAGCTGTGTGTTTAATGGATTTTGTGAGAAATGAGAGAAACTCTCCGCTTCGACGCACTGGAGTTTGTTGAAAATTTTTCAAAAGTAATATGATAAAGCGAAGAAATTATCTTCACGCTCAATTCAATTACTTTTCACACATGTTTATGGGCAATTAGACTCACTCTCAAATCTTCTATTCTTCACCATTGTCTTTTTCCACACTCGTGTGTAACTCACAACAGCTAAAAATACACAGACTCTGGAGGAGCTTTACGAGGCACAAGTTACACTCGTCGCGACTGCAAATTAACTAAATCGAGATTTAGACTCGTCTCTCCGTCTTAATCCAAATCTCTGGGCGCGAGTGTTTGTGGCAAAATAATATTTGTTGTGTAATAAATTCATTCGGCATGGAGAGAAGTCACCAGTCTATCACTGTGCTGATCCTCCGGTAAACAGTGGCATGAGCTAATGGGAGCATGGCACTATTTCACAAGCCCCACCAAGACTTCTTCGCGTCAGGCTGGATGGTGTCTCACTGGCCGGCCATCCTTCGCTGGCGGAGCCCAAATATACACTCGCGAGCCGGCGAAGAGTGCACTTGAAAATATCATACTAACCATGCACTCCATTCCGATTCGACCGCGCGCCGCTCTCCCACCTCGCCCGATAATCGCCTCAATTTAACCATACTTAGCGCTGCCTTTTCCCACACAATCGCCCGCGAAAATTACGCTTCGTATCACCAACTCACGTGTGTCACGAGAGTCGTGAATTCCTCGCCTTCGAGCGCTGACCCCCGAAAGGGGCGCGCGCGCGCGCGACAGTTTAAACCTGTCGCAACTGCTGTTATTTGAGAGGAAGTAATTATGGTATCAGATCTCGCGAACACTCAGAACATCAGCTGCATTGAGAGAATGCAGGTAATCCCAGCTATGGAGCGAAACCAGGGACAATATCATGATCGTGACCTTAAAAGCTATGTGTAGTCCGCAAATACAATACGTTAGACTTGACGCTAGATCACGTCAGAGTGAAAGGTTTCTGAGTTGCGTGGAAAATCACCGCATCTGCTTATCATCTAGAATTTCTTAGCCCAATTTTCTTAATCCGAAAAGGCCAAATACGTTAGCAGAGATCTTATCGGATGAGCGCTAAAATTCCCTCGTAAATATCGTAAATCGACTGAAGAAGGTATTCCAAATGTTTGTAGTTATAATTAGCTTGAAATTGATATGGTAAACCCTGCTCAACTCTTCCATGCAGATGATTCAACAGTAAACCATGGGAAATAATAGTCAAAATCAGGATTATTTTCCAAATTGTTGGTCGTAAATGTTTAAATTGTCGACACTTCGGCTGACTAAGCTTAAGAAGTTATGCATGGGATGTCTTTTTGGTTGCTGAGTCTTTCTTTAATCAGCACCATAAAGACGTAAATAAACATTCTAAAGAAATTCCAAGAAATGTGCTGATATTGTGAAAAAGATGCATTCGTGGAAATTTTTATTACTCCATAGAATATATCTACGATCGACTGTTTTGTCGATGACAATAGCTGGAGAGTGTTGACAAAAGAAGTGCCCTCAAAAGACAAACACTATGATTAGATGCCCTGCTTCGACAAGCACTGCCCTTCAGTAGACGGCCTTCAAGACCACAAAATTGCTGGGCACTTTATTTTGCGAAATGATTAAAAAGTCATATATATCTTCAGTGGTAAATTGGTGAATTTGCATATCAAAAGATGTCGCTCAGCGCGCCAATTTAAATAATTTACTATAAATATCAGCACAGTGGAAATTTTTACTACTTTGCATAAAAACGCCGAACACCAGTGAAAGCCTGCATAATTGCCCACTGGAATTGGACAAACACACAGCTTTTGAAGGTGACTAAACTTGAAATAAAAAAGTCCATTTGAAGTGGCGCCTCATATTTTTAATATTGTTTTCGATTGAGAAACGACAAAGTGTCTCAGATGTTGAGAAATTTGTCCGCTTCTCCGAACTCTGGCTCGATTGAGCGGTTTCTTGCAACTGCAATTTCGGCGATGATGTCAGTTAAGGGCGCACAAAAAGCGCTTTCGATCAGCAATAAGAGGAGTAAGAAAGTGTTTCTCAGCATCATTAATTATGTGGAATTGATCTGAGGTCTGTGAGGGCACTGCTTATGGTATGACAAGTCATGCCAATAAATTCAAGTTCGCTTTTCCTGTTTTATTTTAATGTTGCAGAGCAGATACGCACACCTCTTCACTGGCCAAAAAAGCGATGATTAATGACATAATAAGGCTGGAAAGATTTCTGAAAAAAATTATACATTTTGGGCACTTTTTGCATTTGTCAAGAATGAAGTCATGTTAAACAAAAAATTACCGTTTTCAACGTTCCGCGTGTATGGAAATAACATTTCATGAAAACTTCGTAATTTCCACAGCCCTGAAATTTTCTCGCTGCCCAATTTGGTCTATTATAAGTCTAATAATAGCAAAAAATAAATACAACTCTTTGATTGAGGCAAAATTATGCGTAACTGGATTGATAGACAAGTTTGTATCGGGATATCAACAGATGCGCGCATTTGCTTAACAGCCGACAAAGTGGCCATAAATATTTGTAAATCCATTCCGGTTCAGTGCAAAATGGTCATTCTGGCAATATTGGAGGCACACAAAAGGTACGTCAATGGGAGGGAAACTGGCATTCTCTGCATAATTTAATAAATTCACAGTAAAAATTACCATAATTATCAATCGTGCTCCCTATTTTAGTCACTTCACTTTGACCTCAAACAATGGCATGAGACATATTACTCATATATTGTGCCAATAAACCTGAAAAATCGATTTGAATTGCTAAACAGCTTCAATACATTGGCAGCAAGATGAATTCATTATCGCTCTTCACAGTGAGTCTATGGGAAAACTGCGGGAAATGTCTTATTTCGGTGATTTTTGATGATTGAAATGCAAATGCGTGACAATTTGTCTATCAATCGCCACCACTTATCGCCGCATTATCGCTTCAGCACCTCATGTTGAGTGCAATTACACGATCAACAGTCAATTCAATGGCATGCTCTCGTGGTGGCCGCAGAAATCAATTTTCCTAGGCAATCCGGCAAAAAGGTGCTTAATTGCAATTACTGCTAAGTACAAAGAGTGTGTATTTCGGTGTGAAAAAAGTGAGATGAGAAGAGCGCGAGTGTGTGTTTTTCGCTATTGAAATCCGCTCGATCGACCCTGAATTGCTGGAAAAATGGTTATCATGTGCGGAGTGCATTCTGATGAGCCTATCAACACAGCAAGCATCATCGCGGCAAGTATAATAAATCTGCTGCCGGTTGCTTTCCCGCTCTGGCTGATAATTTCATCAAAATTTATCATTTCTGACGCGACACGCAAAAACGCGCCGCTAAAGATGATCTCAAGAACAAGGTTGGGCGCAATTTTTGTCAACAATCACGGTCAAGAATATCAATTCTACACGCGGACGATTCTGACGTGTGAGAAACGGGAATAGCAGGTGATACACAGCAAAAACAAGACTTTTTTTTCTAGAATAATTGATTATATAGAATAAGGAGTTGTAATTTATGCTAAGAAAAAGCTTGAATGAATTCGTTGTGAAACTTTTGCAGCCCAGTTGACCATGAAGCTGTTCAAGAGCAGCCAAATGAGCACATTTTTACTGTCTTTGCATAAACGGTTTCTGGTCGTAAAATTGCTTTATTTTTTAATTAATCACAGACAGAAATTTTTCCAAAATAACCTACGCAATAGGATTTCTTAAGGCGTTCTACATAAATAAAAAATATGTATCAAGGAAAGAGAAATAGTCTGTTTGCGTGAGTTCTAGACGGATTCTCAAATCAACATTCTCCTGAAATTGATTGCATTATTACGCATCAGTTCTCACTTAATTCGCGTCTCTGTGCATTTTGCGCTTTTAGGCTTGCATCAAGTGTTATTTGAGTAACATTGTAGCTTTAGTTCGTCATGTTATTCGCTAATTCTCCTCAATTTCGTCTTTTGAACTGGTGACAAAACAGTACCGACAAGGTAAACATGTCTCACGGCGTCAGCCGGGATTTCTCTGTCATTCACATTATCGCAAAAAAAACTTCTGCTCCGCGCGGAAGAATTTACAACTCAGCTTTATCTTGTTTAGTGCTTGTGTTATTCAATATTATTACGGTGGAGTGATTCAAAATTGTAATTATGTATATTTAGATTGTGCGGTGGGTGAAATTTTGCGAAATGGTGCCTTGCTAAAATCTTATCGCGTTGCCATCGCGAAGATGCGAGGTGTGTTGATTAATTGTCCTTCCTCTCGAGTTTGCTGATTGTATTAGAAAATCTTTGCGCCATAAATGGGTCAATGGCAGCGATGAGAGGGTTGAGCGGCAAATCTCACCCACTTGAGCTTCAATGGCGAATCCTCGTAATTTTTATTGGCCACTTACCCGGTGGCGACGGCTGCTGTATCTTCTCCATATCCTCACTGATTTATGACGCCCCCGCGAAAGCCACAACACCTTTCTTTATCGCCTCCACGCAATCAGCTTAATCCCGAGTAATCTCGATATTGCTGGCTGGATGGCCAAATGATATTTATGGGGCCGGAATGAGATTAACGCCCAGCAGTCTTTATCACATCCAGATTGTGTGTCACTCAATCACTGATACACGCCAATTTTACAGTGTATTCCGCTTCATTGGCGCCCAAAAGATCGTTTTCGGGGATGAATAGCGCGGCAATAAACACTAAAAGCACTGTCAATATTCCCAAGCACACGGATGATTGTGAACTCGAGAGTTATGCTAAAACGCCTGAATTCGTATCACTTCTTCTTCCGTCACTTATTTCCGCAATAAAGGGCACACTTTTCTGCTCTCCGAAAAGACACGCGACGCACTCAATGTAACGATAATAATAGCGATAAAAATACGGAGGGATATATAAAATGCAAAAAATGTAACTGAATATATATTGTCTCACTGTTGTTGTCGTTTTTATTTCAAATGGGAATTTCACTGAATTGTCCGACACTCTCTGTATATCTTAGATTGAGCATTTAGCAATGCAAATTCATCTGCTTTGCATTCCTCTGCACCATTTAGAATTCATGACACGCCGTCGCACTGAACTTAAACTGCTTCTTTTTAAGTTTGAACTGTCGTAATAGCAAAATTCACACAAGGCACCCGAAAAAATGAGTCTAAATTGTCGGATTTGATGTGGACAATCCGATCATAGCAATTGCTCAATTGATTCTGTACTCAATGAGAAGTTCAATCACAACTTTTATACGCGTTCCGCTCCTTCATATCAGCTGAAGTGCTTCAATCGCCGCTCTTTTTATTCTCTCTCTCCACCTGTAATTCCACCACAGTATCATTTTTTATGCCAGCCAATTGAACTGCAATTGGAGATCCACAACAACAAAGGCTCATCCAGTGAGAGTCTGTGTGCCACACTACATTTCGCATCGCCATTCTGACGCACTCGAGCCGCGACCGTGAGGAGGTTCAAGTGTCTGGAAATGAGTTGGAAAATTTCTGCCGCCAGAAAGAAAAACACCTGCGATGGCCATCGGGAGTTTGGAGGAGCCACACACTGCGTCAATTAGGTGAGTGATAAATTTCACACTATGCATTGATTAGGCGGACACTCCATTGTGGCCTGTGTTGGCAAATAAAAGTGGGTGAAGAACACGGAGATAAGCCGCCTGTAAATATTACCTTTGACAACTGATAGAGTGAGTTATTCAACTCTCGCGCCAAACACTCACATCCATGGTCTCATTTCCTTATTGATGCACCGCGCGAGGGTTCCGTTAGTGCACTTTTTCAGGATTTCGCACAATGCGCGTGAAAATTTCAGCGGAACGCGATAGAAGGGTACATGATACTGGCTTCCATTGAATACCTGCTAATCGTTGGGCATTTATTGAGCTCTGCAAGCGGGATTTAACTTCCTCTATTCTGTTAATTTTCTATAGCGGTTTCACTGTGTTGATCCCAATGCATGTTATCAAAGGAAGAAGTCCAATTGTGTGGCATAAATATCGAAATTTTCACTTATTTTCCTGGAATTTCAATAAATCCGGCAAACCTTTGTGCGCCATGTGCAGTAATTATTTGGATTGATTGTTTTGTCTGCATTCTAACACATAATACAAAACTCTGCGTTCAACTATCCGGTATTAATCTCGCACTCAAGCTTATTTGTTCTGGACAATAGGAAAATTCTAAGAGACTTCGCCAATATTTGCCTCATTGTTCGAGCTCTGCTTAGGCATTCCGCAAATGTGTGGGCAAAACTTAATCCTTCATTTCACAATATTGAATTTAATCGATGGTTTTATCGACCATCTTCTGAGGCGAAAATATATTTAAAGTGGAACAAATTTAAGTTCCTTCCGTACAAAGTTCTCACATTTTCTGACGGATATTCAATATAAATTGAGTACACAGAGCTTTTGAAAGAGACTTTGAGCTGAGAATATTTTCAGTCACGTTTGCAAAATCTGCTGATTATGCATGGCACATTGACACGATGCATTCTCAACTGTGTCCTCAATCAGCCAACTTCAGTCATGATCATGGGGAGAAATTGATTTTCTTGCATATTGAACTTTTATATTTTATAGCTGGAAAAATTCCACCCACCTTTTCCTGCTCGTGAGCAATCAATTCACATTCTATCCCGAAAATTCCCCAAAGAGAAGTGCGCCTCTGGAAGATGTAATATTCCTCAGCGGAAATTCAATTGGAAGTCAATTTATCTCTCGTGAGAAGCTAGGAAGTTTTTTCAGTGGTGAATTTTTGCATTAATATTTCAAAAATCTTTGGAACTTCTGCTCAATTACTTGAGGATTTTTCCTGATGGAGAAGCTCAGAAACTTTTACACACAGTCGATCCATCGAGCCTTGTCACTTGGGGACACTTTTTAAAGACACCTCAATTCCCTAAAACCCCTTTTTGTGCGAGACAAACTTTTTGTCGCGCTTTCAATAAATTAATGTCCTTCCTTAGAAAACACTTCTGCTTTCGAAAGCGTCAATTTTCATCTACGCACAAAAGTTGCGAACATAATTTCAATCAATTTTCAGGAGGATATTAATGAGAAACTCTATTCATTGCTAAGTACGATTTTCAGTGCTTCTTGTGAAACTTGAAATTTAGATAAAAACATTTAGAACATTACTAAATATACGAACCAATTCAACTCAACAAATTATCTTTCGAAAAATATTCTTTCTGATGGGTGTAACATTAAGAATTGAGTCCTAACCTAATTTTTAACTGAGATTCTTTACAGATTAAGTTACACATAAGGCAGAAATTGACGCAATCTCTAAAACTCTTCAACGCATGAAAGTGAATTTGTTACATTTTAATGGTAGCTTAATGAGTTTTTTATCCATGATCTTCATCGGTTTCCATCAAATTCACAATAGCGATATGTGAAAATTCCGCCTGGCTTTCCTCGCGTAGGCGGAAAAGCGGTCGTCGTGAAAAACTTTCTTGTTTACATGCAGAAAAGTCAGGAGCTGAAAATCAATATTTACCAATAAAAATGAAGAAGGTACACAAATGAGATTTTCGTCGCTGAAATCACTTCTAATGTTGGCTGAAATTTCATTACTCCATTAAGTGTTTCTACTGCGTCTTCTCACTCGAAGGATACTCTTGACCTTCACCAGCTAAGCGGCCTCGGAAGTGCGATGATTTATCATGCGGAGGATTTTTAAATTACAAAGTGATTTTATGCTCGCCTCCATGTTAATCCAATTACAATTTTTTCGTTGAATATCAATTAGGTGAAACCCTGGGATTTTCCTCTCAGCATCGAATCCAGCATGATTATGTGGAGGATTGCGAGTGGGTGAGATGCTGTCCATGAAGTTTCATGCTTCAGGAATTACCGCTCCACATGATGTCGTTTCTATGGAGAACTTTTTCTTACATGATTAATGAGTATTCGGAGAATTGGTCCTTTTGACCGGGAATCAAATGTGCGATGCCTTATCAACGTCAAAAATCCTCAGGTCAAGTTTGTGGCAAAACAGTGGTGGCTCTTGTGTTGGAAAACATGCTTGATGTTTGGCAAATAAAGTCAAATAGATATAGTTGCAGAATAAAGTTTTCCAACATGTGTTCATAAATAATACCGGGAAGTTTGACTGACGCAATGAAACTGCGTCACAGATAAGAAAACAACAGTAGAGCTCAACGAAAATTAAGTAAGGCAAGAACGAATATCAGCACCTATATTTAATCCTTTTAACTATTTTAAAGTGTTATGTATGTCAATGGTGTATGATTATGATTTAATCGACATTTACTGTACGAAACATTCCATTTCTGCCATCATATAAATATTATGTAGTCAATTTTTGTTCCACTCAACGATATTTATGCAAAGCTTTTATTAGCGTAAAAGCTTTTCATGCTTAAACAGAATCGATTTCAATTGCATTGCGGTATTTTTACAGAAATATCACAAAATCATATTCAATTTTCAATTAAGTGCTTCATTGCAATGTCAGAAAAATACATTTCAACTCGCATTCAACAATCACAATAAACTTATATTTTCTATGGCTGCTAATAGACTTTTAAGGCTTTGAAACTGCCGATTGCTTTATAGAGCAAGGAAAAATGGTATTTTGAAAAGTTCCGGTTAGAAACTGAAATACTTTGCAGACGGCTTTAGAATAATGACAACATTTTATACTTTCTCAAACAAAATTGTACAGCATGATGAAGCGAAAGTGAATGAAAACACCTGCTGCTTTTATTGTCGTCTCATCTTCTTTCCACGTGGCATAATTGACGCCCTTTCAAATATTCAACACTCTCAAGTCGTAGACTTGGAATTAAAGTCATTCACAATGGAACTTTTTGCAATTTTCAGCATGAATTTCTGTCTCAAAGGTCAGAATCTTTAAGGGAATAGTCGGAGCAATAAGAAAGCATTCCGGCCTAAAGCCTCGAAAGTAAAGAGAGATTTTCTGCGTGAGGAAACGCAGCAATTTTTCCCCTGTCACTTTGAGGTGGGCCACATGAAGTGGAAGAAAGCAGTCCTCAGGTGAGTAATCCCTGTGCGAAGACTCGTGGGAATGCTGACTGTCGGCCTATTTGGTCGTCAGCTGGATTGGATTAGGCGATGGAATTTTGCGGTATTGCGAATCATCTTATCAACAATAGTGACAATGCGCCAAGTGTGCACCCTTTTGGCCCCGAACGAGTCAATTTGCACCACCGCTGGCAATCGATGTGCGGCGTCCCATTGAGAAAAGCGCCGCTGTGGGTGTGTGTGTGCGTTGGAGGGAAAATCAGTGTGGCTAAATGTTCGTTGAGTTTCGTTGAATTTTCCTCGGGAGTCTGTCAAAGAGCGACCAATTCTCCGGAGCATTTTCATCGCTGCACTCCAACGCTCAACATCAGTCGCTGCGGAAGCGTCGACCAGCCAAGAAGGTCACCTGAAGCTGCCTCTGTTCACTCAGTGCGCCAGGAATTCATTTCCACCCACGAAGCGGAGGAGTAAATATTTAACCGGAATGTACACAATTTTATCGCGAGTAGAAATTGTGCGCCGTTGAAGTAACTTGGCATTGTTAAAGTCACCCGAAATGTTTAATTAATTGGTCAGTTTTGTGCTGCTGAATTTGAATATGTTTACAGAGACTCGAAGGCGAAGTTGGGAAATTTGTTACGCTTGAAATGCTGATATACTTTCGGGGTGTATTCAACAGGTTACCCCGCTCGTTCTCAGTGTGAATAGGGAACGGAAATATAAATGACATAAGATTTAGAAGCTCAGAAGATGTGTCAGTGCGAGTTTTTCCGCGCGGAAAAGAGTGTAATCTTGCAAGAGAGATCAAAAGAGGGTAGATAGAACCACAATAAATTCCAACATCACTCTGGAAGTGTTCATCCATCACAAGAAGAGTGAGTATATACTGTTCGCTGTTTGTTTGTGGGAATCATTAAGAAAAAACCAGAGACAGGAATTTTCTCCACCATTTCTGACACAATACGGGCTCTTCCTCAAAGTCTGCACGGGTTTAAGAGGTGAAATGTGAGACAGGTGGTTCATTATAAGTCGGATGGATTACGGGAGAAAATTAAATTGGCTGGATTAAAGACACGAGTCTTCTCATTAATGATTTGTGGTAATCCATTATGTACGTCTCCTTGTACGACTTGTGACGCGTGAGATCCCGCCAAAGCCACACAAAAGATAAAGCCTGGCAAATCGATAACAGTCATATTTTCCCGAAGCACTCTTGCACCGCTCTAGAATTTCCATTTTCCACTCTGCAGGGGATCAAGTATCACAAAAGTCCTCTCTCATATTCTTTCAATCCACACTTCGGCTCTGCGGTTGGCCATTATGGACCACCATTAGAGCCCTATTTCATGCCTTTTGCAGTGTCGAACATTTTCCGTTGTGTCTCCATGCGAGAACCACGGCATTAAGGCAGATTGCTCGATGCCACGTGAAAGCACACAATCGGACACAAACGTGATTTGCAAACACCCACAAAATTGATAAATGGTGCAACTCGTCTGGTTCCCATCAGAATTCCTCGAATTTCCACACCTTTAGCAATCAATTGTTCTCACGAAACGAATGAATCTTTTTAGATTTCGTTCAATTCATAAGATTCTCTTGCCTTGCAATTGGAGAATTGAATTAATACAAATGTCTGTTAACTGAAATTACATTCCAACGTTTGCCATTCAGGGCGGATTTTCATTGTATTTCAACTCGAATGAGGCGAAATTTCCCTTGTAATTTGCATCTCATGAAAGATACGGAATAGGATATCCTATTAAAAGCTCATATGAGGAAAATTTATGTAAATCTTCACAAATAGCCTATCAAATATTCATTGATCATCTTAATCCAACCAATTTGACGGAATTTCGGTTATTAATGTGAATTTAATTTTTGGCTGAAGCAGTTCTCAATGTTTTATTAATTTCTATAGTGAATTTATCCAGAAAATTCTTGATTTGTTGAGTGCCAATAAATTCAGACGCATAATTATGAATGTGATTCCTAACCAAATTGTAATTTCTACTGACCAACATATTCTCCCTGAATGATTGTAAAACACTTTGAAATCCTATGTGATTTAATTAAGTGACAACAATGTGTACAAAAGCAAAATTGTTTGCGGCCAGGAAATTTCAACATTATTTATTAAAATAAGTAAAATACATAAATAATATTGTTATTAAATAAAATCCCTTGAATTCCCCATATATTAAACATTCATTTTTCATGACTGAATTTCCATTTATGCAAAGCTTGTGCTTTTGCAAATAAATAAAATAATACTTTGAAGTAGTAAATGTAATTTAGTAGAGAGAGAAGTACGAATTTTGCACCAGTTCTGGGTATGAATTGCTGTTGAATTTTTCATCAAAGGTGGAACAGGAATGCGGATTTCTTTTGCTCCCTATACTTAATGAATATGAATCCCGGACATAATTACTTTGTATGCAGATAGATATGACTTTCATAGGAATTTCTCGTTGTGGCAATGAGTCTGTGAAAGTTTAAAATCGTATCAATTCACATCATCATGAGCTGTAGTTTTGCTAAAGTTTATTTTGTGTATATAATTCCTTGCGCGCTTTGTGTTATTCATCAGAAACTCCTCGAAAGCGGAAACTAACCATAAAAGTGGAAATGCTGGGGATTTGTGATGAGAGAAAATTGAAAGTATCCCTCAAAACGTTGTGCCATTTAGTCGCTGTTTTTGACTATTACATTTTCCGCATAAATCCCCTGCAAAGTACCATCAATGCTGCTTTGGCAGCAGGAATTGTAAATAGAGACTGTGAAATTGATTTGCCATCTCTCATTCCATTGTAAATTCTCGAGTCGCCCGGCCTGAATTTATCAACCAAATATGCCATCGGTAATAAATTCGTTGCTTCGCAATCTGCTCCAAATCATCACAGAGCGGATCATTTACATTTTCAATTTATTTAATGGATGTAGCAATAAAAGTCATGAAATTCATAATTTTAACGACTCTTCGCGGGGTCGCCAAACAGCACTCTTTCTCACGCGCGAAAGACCCATTTTATGCTGAGTCTCGGAAGCATTTTGTGTGCTTAAGAGGACGACACTTTGTGTGCTTAATCACCCTGAAAGGACGCTGGCGAAGACATGCGACTCGCAGTTGGAAACGGGCTTGAAAAGGTCACCAATGATGAGCTCTTTAATTTACCAAACTTTGAATATTGTCCACTCTGTGGCTGCATTTTGAAACTTTCCGGTGTAAATTGAAGCTTCATGAATAACTCAAGAGGAACTTTCACGTACTTATGGAAACTTTGCGGAACTTACGGCAAATATTGGTCGATCAACATCGCGATAGGGTTTCTTTAATATATCCAACATAGTATCGGTTGTTCTCTAAGGGATTAAATCAACAGGAGGTCGTATAAATTGTCCAACATTGCGAAAGTTCTGTTCGCAATTTTGTGAAGTCGTATTTTCTCGAGCATGTGATGAAGTTTCACCACAACTTTGCGTTCCATTACAAATGAATATGCACTAAAATTGTATTTGAAATTCGAGAAGGCATCTTCACTCTCGCAAACGATGTAAATGTGATGTAAAGTCAAATAATCATGAAAGAGGATTGAAATCAATCAAAGCACTTAATGGCCACCATTCCTGACCTTCTAGCCTGTTTGGCTCATGATTAATTACGGTGGAGATTTCCATTGCTTCGGGACACTTTAACTGTGCTTAAAGCGCTGCGTTTTCATCACATCTTTTGACTCAATTTTGGTGGATTTTATCTCGTGAAATTGAATTCCTCAGAGCTATTCGCAAGAGAACAAAAATCGCAAGAGAGTTTTCATCCAGAACATGGAAAATCAATTTGGACTGCGTGGAAAGGACGACTCTTTGTGTCTGTTTGGGTTTAATTTTGGGTTTTTGTCCCATCAAAGTGATATTAAAAATTCACATTTCACCCGCATGGAAAGCTTTTCATCCTCGCACGGAGAAATGAATAAAAAAGTGTGAGTAATTATCGTAATTGTCCAATATCGCATCGCTGAACATTCGTCTGCACTAAACGACAGCAAACCATCAACAGCAGGAGTGGAACAAATGAAAAGACAACTCTGCTGGCAAAACATATCGAATGTCATTATTCTATTTTCAACACCGAATGGCATTGTTTGTCCATTATTGCGAATTGGATATGAGCACGAGTGGAGCAAAATATGCGCAATTCTTGCGCCAATTTCTGCAAAGCGTATTGACACGGATAATTGTGACAAATGATAACGCTGACCGTGAAGAAGGCGAAGAAAATTGTACTATTGCGCTAGTCAACGAGCTCTTCCATCAACAAAGCTCTCTCGCTGGAGTGCATACAGGAGGAGGAAATGTTGCGAATACACACCTTAGTTGAGATAGCAAAACACCCCCGCAAATATGTTGAGAGAGGGAAAGAACAGCTCAATTGCACTCCGTAAATAACACCTGAAACTACTCAATGGCGATGGGAGTGAAGGTTTTTCGCACCGCGGAATCCCGATGGTGTTGACGTTGGGTAGTTTCGAGTCAAAACTGAAATATTGACTTTTCCAAATCTCCACACTGAGCAATGTCAACAAGTGTACGGGATAAATATCCGATAACCTGGCAAAGTCCACAATGTCGGTGAGTTGCGGAGTAAGTTTTCAGGAAAGCGTCAATAAAGGTCACATTGATATGGGTATGATTATGGAGTTGATGTCTGAACTGCTGACAATATAAACCACCTCAAAGTGGGATTATATTGCGCACATAAATATGATTATATGTTAAAATATTCGGGTTATAATTTTGATATTCTGTCACACTAATTTGACTTTTGAAATAGATTTTCCCCAGCGATAATTCCTGCATGGATAATGTTTTCCCATATTCTACAACTCAAACAAAGAATTCTCCGAATTCTCACCACAAATCCACCTCTGAAGATTTCCTACATTCGTACGTTGATGCTTTCATTCATTCATCATTTCATAAATCATAAGATGCCGGCAAATTAATATCCTGGCAGGGAATTTATATATTATATTCCTCTCCCCGCCTATGAATAAAGTTTGAATGAAAATCCTACCAAAGAACAACAGAACCTGCAATCGAGTGCTACTCAATGTGTAAATCACAAGTGTTTTTGTGAGATTACGCTCTCGCGATGGCTTTGGCGCAAACTTTGGAGCGGGCCAAGAACATTGTTTCAATGCTAAGTTACACTGTTACTCTGGCGATGGTTTGATGGCGAAATATGAAAAGCAAAAGAAAATCCCCTTTACAATATCTAATCCCCTCTCAATGAGCTAAACACACGAGATTGATGTGGAAAAGTCCCTGAAGATGTTTCATCGGAAATTCATCCCAAGAGAGATTTTTCTTTGTTTGTCATTTGGAATTCGACCAATCTTCGTGGAATATTATGGCCATAGAGAGAGCATGATTCCATGTCCAAATTATCTGCGGAACAGTTTCACGTCTTTCAAGAGGATTTCACGTCTCAGTTTCATCATTTATGGAAAAGTGCAGTGGGAGAAATGGATAACAATTGTGTTTAGGGAATGGCTAAGAGGGTGGAAATAAGTTTTCTCTCACTCACTCTAGACATCTCTCTGAAAGTGAAGACAGAGCTTTAGTGAAGGTCAAACATTCCCTTTCCAATATATATGTCTGATTTGATACTTATATTTCACCATCTGCACGATTCGTGATCTCTCAATTAAGACGTTTGCACGAGAGAGCTCAAGAAGTTGTGCCAGCCAAATGGAACCACTTCACTGGAATCACGTGTTATTGAGAGAACGCATCAGAGAAATACAAATTAATCCTCTGACTTGCAACAGCTTTAAATGTATTGTTGCTCTTCTGCAATTTATCAAGAGGAACT